TCAAAAAGATCTTCGTTAATACATTAGGATCACTATACTCTATTTATATAGAAATTAGAGTTAATAATGTTCACCTAAACATATTCTGTATTTTTGTTCACTAAACTGTCCTCCGGGACCTCACTCACACGGCGAAACACAACGCTGTGGTTGTTTCACGCCGTTGCCGTGCCGAAGCTTGGCTTTTCTACACTTATATTGTGGCAAAACCCTCTCTTTTGTATGAACTGTCAAGGGCTTTCGTAGATGATGAGTTATAATATGTGGTACAGCCGTATGCTTCTACAGAACTGTTTAAGGTGAACTATATTAAATATAATTAATAAATACGTGTGCGTTTTGAATAAGGCTAATTTTGTTTTAAAGAAATTAACTTTATAAATATAAAAATAAAACTAGAAGGATCTGATTTTGTGGATTTCGCTCGTTTTGTTCTAAACTCAAAATACTATCTTTTTTAAAGATTATTAATTAACATGTGCTATTATTATTAGTTGAAATAACTGTCTAATATACTAATTTCCTAGACTAAGTTCATTATTTCCTACATTACATATATCTTAGCTTATATAGAAAAATATTTATCTATATAATCTCTTTTACAACTAATTTTTCGACGTTGAATTATAATTAATTGTTTACCATTGTGAACCATAGATTTAAAATTCGAAACGCTATATTTACACGTTTCTGTTCGTAACAATTAAACTATATCGGCGTACTCCTATTAGCTTAATTATCTTATTTAGTTAAATTAGATATATAATATTGTTAATCTAATTTTATATATTTCATTTAATTTGAATCTACTGATATTTACAATAATAATATGGAGTTGCTACTCGTCAGACAGTGACGCACAAGAGCTGATCTCGATCTATTTTGCAGACATTTTTCTTTTTTTTTTATAGCCGTAGACTATGTATAGTCCGGCAAACAATAGCTAAATACTCTTTTCGAAAGTTTGTTATAGAAGTATGTAAAACGTTTTGTTAATTGCAAGATTAGTTATTATTTTATTCTTGAATTTTAGCTTGGATTTTAGGTAGATATCAATTAAATTGTTAATGTGAGATTTAGTCATACATAAAATGTAAAAAATATGTGTACAAAATAGTCCTAAAAAATCAGCCATTGTGTGCCAAATACCTTAAATTCTAAATCTTATACTAACAGATGTTTCTTAAGACGCATTCAGTTATTACAATTAGTTTTTAAGAGAATACTGTGTTCGAATTTCTAATTTCATAATAGTTTGAGATGGTAGTTTTAGTTTTAATTATTGGAAGAAGTATTTCATATCTTGCTGATGTTTATTGGCGATGAATTATTATATTTAATGTTTTAAAATCCTGACTCCATATAAAGTGGTTCAAGGACTATATAGCATCATTTTCTTTAAACTATATAAGTATACCTGAAGCACGGCCTAAGTAACTCTGCGACCTAATTATAACTATATTACTAAAGTTATCTCCTACGATGATAATTAGATAAATGTATAGGAAATAAAAATCCGATTATTTTACTAATGATAGTTGCTATAATTTTTGAATTTGTAACATTTTAGTCAAAAAAATGTAGGTAAATAATGATTTTTCATTTAGAATGTTGCTTAAATTATATAATAATATAAAAATGAATCATCAAATGTGTAGTTGAGTGCATAACCCGCGAACAGCTGAATCAATTTCGATATTATTATTTTATGAATATTCATTGAAATATGAGGATCTTTTTTTAGCACCAAAAAGGAAGGGTCAAAGGTCGGGATTGACAGTTACAGCGTGACCGAAGTCTCGTGGGGCCAGAAAGTAAATTATATAATATACTGCTACTTTGTATGAGATTTTCGTCGTTCACTTTTAAGATATACACATTATTATATTATATTTATTTATTCTAGAGTTACACCTACTTTCAACGTTTTCATGGGACCATTTCTTTCCTCGATTTATATTTACATTTGCGAAGAACTCTTTATTTAAACCTAATTTATGCTCATTCGTGAACCGTTTATTAGATACTTATGCCTATATAATTATCATCTATGTGTATACAGGGTGACTTTTAATACATGTCCTAAACATACCTACTTAAGAAATTTTGTATGTTTTTTTTGCGTCTCGTAGGTAGTTTTTTTTGTTTTTTCTTCCTAAGTCTACCTAAACATGTTTTTTTGTAATTTTTTTTATTAATTTCCCGCATTTGGCGTAGGTATTCTAACTTGTTTTTTCAAAGCACTAAAAGTCATACTGTGCATTTTTTTATTTTCGTAGTTTTGTGTTTTTTTTTTTTGTTTTTTGGTATTTTTATGAAAATATATATGATTTACTTATATTTTACTTTACATGCTAATAGCCATAAAGATCCTAGATCGGGAACCAAAAAATGTACAATCACAGTCACCCAAAACTGGAACAACTACAAGTAAACCGTACGAATACTTGTTCCATGCGGGAATCGAACCCGCGACACGTGAATTCCTTAAACTAATCTTAATATTAATAGAATGTCGATATATCGACACGAAGGAACATCGTCCTAACACCATTCTTATAAAGTTGTTGATAAAATGGAGAAGGTGATTAAAACAGCGCTGTCACCGTAAGATGGACGAACGATTATACATTGAGCACTTTACTTCTATTTAAATAGAGTTCATTTTTCTAGGTGTTAACGCGCTGTGTCGTTGCTTAAATACTAAGGATCATTTTATAACCAGCACAGAGTTGAAGCGCATCGAAGAGAAAATCTATCCACGCCCATTCACCCGCATCTTTTTAATCTCCGACAAGTGACATGACAATGTGTGCACTATGATCTAGACATATTGAATTTGGCATATCAATAATTTGCTTCAACTCTACGCTACTATAAGATTCCTCCTTACACTTATAATTAATTAAAATAAACTATGTAGTACTATACACACTACGTTTATATGACTCTCCCGCTGTTACAACTAAACTGGAACGCGACGATATTTACAAAGTAATCGCGTTCCTTACTTACTAATTATGAACATGCTGCCCTTATTATAACGAACTTTTACATTCGTTTAAAAACAAAATTAATTCCAGTAATCACTAAGTAATTACTTATTCAATAATTAAATAATACTTATTCAATTATACTTACTTAAATCTCTTATTATTATTATTTAATACCTAATTTTGACAAGAACATTCGTAAGTCAATTTGTGAAATCAATGGTTTAATGACTACACCCGGTTTCTGAAAGGCTTGCCAACGCTAAAATTAACTAATCTCCTGTTAAATCTCTTGTCAAGTCATCTGATTGGTTGTTGATAATTCAGTCAACCAATCAGATGACTTGACAAGAGATTAAATTGATTTTAACATTGATCGGCCTTTCGGAAACCGGGGGTAAGTTATTAATAATTCCTTTCCTTGTACCTTAAAGGCATAGGCGTGATTGGAAACTCGAGTATTTTTCTTGCGCAGTAGCCCGTTTTGTGTTGTTATATTATTGAGACATTCTAAATTAATTATTATGTTTAACGTCTTACTCAACGGCTGTTGATGAGGAACTCGATTGGTTTTGAGCCACGCTCGGATCTAAACTGCTTTAATCATATAAATGAGCGCGAGACCATTGTTAACAAGGTTAATTTACGAATGTTCTTGTTTACCTTATGTATATATTTAACGTATGTACCTAACCTAATCCGCGATGTAATTTACAAAATATCCGCGTCTCTTAAAACTATATTGTTCTAGTAATTTTGCCATTTTTAATAAGTTTTAAACTAATAATAATAATGTCTAAAGTCCTACTTCGTTAGTGATGATTCAAAATTAGAATGAATGTACTTATTTATCTTTTTAAAATAAACCGTTGGGAATTATTATCTGAAATCCGAGATAAAAAGTAAAAATATAAGCGAATTATCTTGAGTAAATATGCGCCTCGGCCAACAGATGGCATCTTTTCATATTTTTTTCAAAGGACACATTTATTGTTAAGTTGAATTTTGATTTTGACTTTTTTGCAATGCAATCGAATCCTCTGACGTTATAGATGATAAAAGGTCACGTCTTGGTCCGAAACAACACACAATTCTTCGTAAATAACTAACAAAGTAGGAATTTACACAGCCTATGTCTATTTTAAGCTATATTTATTTTAAACGGCCACCTTGCCGATTCGCACTACCTATAAAATGGTCTGACATTTTGAAACGCGGTTTTAATGTACAATTTCACGCGTTGTATGAACTACTATAAGGACTAGTTTCCTTTGCACATTCAGCATATTTTATTTAGGAAATATTGCTGAATGTGTATAGGACATGATATTACTACAAATATTCACTATTTTCAAAGAAACTACAATGTTTGTAAGAGAGAAATGTTTATGTTTTATTCCGAACGCTAACTCGTGATTTTCTATAATCGATTTTCAATCCTATCCGTTTGTTATAGAGTTGAAAACCTATTAATGAACTTTTTGATTTAGCAACCGAAATCATTGTCAAGGTCTTCTGCACTGGATTCTTTGATAAGTCTCTCTCGATGTTCATATTTTAAAGTCACTGTAGCTTCTATAAAAAATACCTATACTAACTTAATATAGCAATTAAATAAAATCGAATACTACTTTATTCCCGTTTCGTGGAGTGAATTGTGTTTACTTATATACAAAATACTTAATTATATCTAAATAATACTAAGTTGGAAAGAAAGCCACATACAGACTGACAAGTAAAAAAAATATATGTAGTTCCGCTAAGCGGCGCTAGTTTCGTTTAAGGTTATGTCTACTTAGATGTTTATGTAGAATCAAGTTAATAATAACAGATAAGCTAACTCCACAAAGGTTTTAGAAAGAAGTATCCATTTACTTAGCTTATACCAGAAGCTACACCACTGTAACTTAAAATCATGTCACATTGTATCACTTTGACGGATACCATAACTTAAAACGATAATGACGCCATCTAGCTGATGTTTGTTTCATATTATTAAAACCAAAACACCATTTTAATTAACCTTTAATATTGTTAACCAATTTGAACATTTTCATTATAATCCAGCGTAATTCATTTTATACCCAAATGTATAAAACATTTCATCATAATTGCCCATTCCTTGATAACAACTATCGTCAATTCCATTAAAAAATAATTAAAACTAAAACATTTGTACTATACAACTAAAGGACAAATGCAAAATATCGTAAAACGGTTTTAGAAAGAGAAGTAAAAAGACGTCATTTATGCGTAACTAACAATATCACCTACACAATAAGGTCTGGTTTTGTTTATCATTACCAAATATGACAAAGACAGGTGTAAGATATTATGTATTTAAAAGACTCTCAAACCTTAGTACAGTTAGATTTTAAGCATTTGGAGTCTTTTCCTACTTAAACACTTTTGTTACCGACTGTACTTTAACGTCACTTCTGTCACTGTCAAATGGTAAAAAAGATGGCGAATTTACTAGCCAAATGATGCCTATCTACTTCGTAATAGGAGTCAATTTCCATTATTCTGTCCATATCTCTGACAATCACCACTCAAGTTGGCGGTGACCTATACTTGCGAAGGATATTCCTTCAACAATTTTCATGCGAGTAAAATTATGTTGGTAATGTTACTTCACGGGACCTGTTTAGCATATAATGCGATACATTCTCGTAAGTTAGGAAGGTAATCATGGTTGCTGGTAATACACGAACTATACTCGGCTTGAGCCCCTTGTAGAAACCACGCCAGCCTTCATGTCTGCAAAACGTGAAAATTATAATTAGAACTTGAATAAAACTGTATAGGCAATGCATTGTACTTACCTTGTTTGGTTTGGTTTAATGGTCACTTTTTAATGTGAATATTTAATTAAAGGTTACTATAACAATAGAGAATAGTATCACTTATAATTTTCATTAACATTCAATGGAGCTTTGAGAATTTTGTTAAGTACGTAAAAATTCGCGTAGAAGATCGAATTTAGAGACAATTGATAATGTTGCGATTCGATAAAACAGATAAATTTTTAATAACTAAAATAGCTTTATGATTTAGATTGATAATAAAATCACCACGAAATTTAAATAAACAATAAAATAACAAACTCAATCAATTTGCTATCATTTATTGATTAAACAAATTGAATAGGCGAATTGAAACAATTGAACTTGAGTGATTATATAAAAATATAATAATTATAGTAATTGATTATTTTATATGTCTTACAAAAATTGCTATGTGGCCAGCCACCGAATAAGACAATTATATTATAATCATAACAGATCGGTAACAACGCTTTAGATACGTTTAGAGATCGCATTACTTGAAAAACACATGTTATTTGTATATTTTATATATATTATGAATAAATAATGTTTTCAAAAGTATTTATAGTATTTTTCACATTTTACACATCTCCAAAACAGTCATATTTATTATAATCACTTTTTTCGTCTTTATATTCCTTGAAACATTCAATCCCTGTTCAAGCTGTGACAATAACAAATACATTGACATAAAACATCATAATACTATTCCAAATTATAAACACAAAATAAAACAATCAAAAACCTCACTTTCGGTTCACTTATTCTACGTCAAATTCATAAGAACGCATAGTTTTTGACGCACTATAAATTAACAATAATATAAAACAGCAAAGACGGACAATAAAGCAATATTTGTGTACAGTTGCTTGCATGTTACATTAAAATATTTTTACACGTTCCTTTTGAAAGGTAATATAAAAATGTAAAAAAAAATATATAAATTAGTATAATATTTTATTCAATATTCTTTGAGAAAATTCTAAGATTAGAATCAAATTCTTTACTTTTGCAAGAAACTGTACAAGCAGATGACGTACTTGACAGTTAGGGGTCCTGTCATTTTGACGTACATATGACATATTTTGACGTACGTCACACGTCACTGTCTAAGTACATAATTTGCCAATGTTGCCTTGCGAAAAACTTTTGGCTCACTTGACTAGTTAAGAGATGTGTACTGACAACGTTGTGGTATTAAAATTGGAAAAGTCAACCAAAATATTTTTCGTTAACTATATTTTTTCATAATTCCCATCTCTAAACGAATCTCTAGCGTTGAAACCACACATTAAAACAACATAATGATTTCAGATTACTTATTTAATCACATTTTATTTGGTGTAAGTATGTATATTTCGATTCACACGTGTCATAATGTTTTCATTATATATAAATATTTATCGATAACTGTGACATTTTTAATCAAGTTGTCTAAAATTTTATATATGTCGTCACTAAGTGAATCTTGTGTTGAAATAAATAGAGTATTTATTTATAATTACAATGTCCCTACTTATTATAAATGTTTACCGAGCTACTGCTGTGCGTGATTGTACTACACTTTGCTAGACGAAAAGGGGATGACCAATTTTTTTTTTTTTTCTTATATTGGAGATGATAATTTTGGCTTACAACGAAGGCGGGTTACATTTAATATTTAGATTAAGACAGATTAGATTCATACTTGCATAACATTAAAATTGAGACAAATATGTTTTACTTTTTTTTTCATTTACATACGTATATTTAATAGCAAGCTGAAACGAAACTATCTTACGTAATAAAGAAACCTAACGTCGTCTCACCACACATGTAACGTTATCTCAAAATTAAAATGTTGTCTTTTTACTTTTTAAATGTTAAATACTTCGGGAAGCGCGACAGTTTAAGTACATACCCTATTATCACAAAAAGTTGATAAATTAAAACTAAATTGTGCTACGCCTGGCGACATTTCTTTTCGAAGTGTTGCCAGATATAAAATTAAGTCAAGTCACTATCTGATGGGAAAGAGTACGACTACTATTTACAAGAGATTACTTTGTTAGAAAAAATAAATAAATAAAAACAAAAACACAACATATGTCGTGAGACAGATTTTACATTTTAATAAAAAAACATTTTGGTTGTACAGTCAGTAACACGAGCTCGTGACCCTCAAAATTAAACTTACTTTTTTTTGTCGTCACTTTCTTTGTTTTGACGATTTATTGTGAATTCGGATTGATTTCTGTAAAATTAAGAGTGAGGCTAGTGTTACGGACTGTACAACAAAAAATTAAAAATAACTTTATACATAGGTATACAATTCTCAAAACATTTTCACATTCATTATATTTTTTTAAAATACATATCAATCACTATTAAAATTACGAAATTCCGTTTGAATTCGTGCCAACTACAGTTCCTTTAGCGGCAACTATGCCAAAAACTTAAAGTCATAATTATTTTTAGCAAAACGTCAACTAGAATGCGGGGTAACTAGGAAAACCATTTCGAACTGTCAAAGTCACGTTAATGTTAGTTAAGATACAATACAAACAAAAAATGCATAATCATACAAATACAGACTATACTAAACAATAAATTATCCCGCTTAAAACTAAACGCTTACCTTAAACACTCCATAGACAAACGAAACGAATAAACTAAACGTAAATCGGCGGTAAACCCTGCGATCGAACTGTCAAAAATGTTAAAAAATTAAAAATAAAATGAAAATAAATAGTTGTGTACGCGATTTCCCATCAGATGACAAAAAGACTCAATCGTTATTGGTGAATTTCTCCCATATGAGCATAACTAGGCATATGTTAGGCGTTACATGTAGGAGGTACGGCGTTAGGCCTTTGTAGAAGCCTCTGATTCGTTCGTACCTCCATGTCTCGTTGATGCAGTGCCAGGCGCCGTCGTAGCTGCGGTGCTGGTCCTGCAAGCGCGCGCGCACCACTTGGTACGGGTATGTCGCACCCGCCGCTATCAGCTTCGAGATCGCAGCGAAAGTTAGGTACTCTACCGATGTCTGTAAAAACAAAGTGTTAATTTTTCAATAACGGCTAACTTAGAGTTCACTTAGAACGACTTAAAAAACGATTAGTTACTCTAATAAAGAATAAAAGCCGATTTGTTCGATATAATAATGTTTTCTTTGTTTTCCACGGTTAAATGAAAGCGATCCCAGACAAACAAACCCATATAAAACATGATAAACATAAGCGTTTCGGGTTTGAAATATTTAAAAGTATAAACAAAACATAACGAATGAAGTAAACATTTACACTCAAAAGAATCTTTGTTTCCAAAAATATTTTAGTTTAATTACTTATTTTCCTTTTAAAAGTATTTAAAATGATAATCTGTCAGATCATTTGCCGCCCCATCACAAAAAATGACAATACTGTTTATAAAGCACAAATTAATTGAACAATGACTCGGTAAGTGTCTATTGATTGATGACTAAAAAGGCAGGAAGTCAATTGTTTGTTGTTACAAATCTAGATTGATCCAGAATAAACTGGTAGCAGTTGTTATGTCTGACCGACGTATAGAATGTCATTTTTTTTGTAATTTTTTTTCGTAACTTTCAGGCATTTGGCCGCTGTCACGCCTGGTGGTGAGCAAGCAATAAGCAACCTATTCACTCGTGCCTTGAAGACACACACATACTTCTGACAAAGAATTTGATTATAAAACTGGAGGTGAATTGCATTAAACTTAACACATTATTCATATTTAGCTAAACACAGCTAAACCGATAAAACAGAACTAGACAACACACGTGTAGGAAAAACGAACATTACCTTAATATAACCAATGATCAAACCTATAATGTACATATTTGCATAATTGTTGTTACAGATCGATACACGAACAGCATAAGGACAATGGATTATGACAATAATGGAAAATGGGCATTCGACTTTGGCCTTGAACGTTTACAAATAGAGATAGTAATTATTATTAAAGTCGTTTTTCCTGTTGCAACCATTTTACTGAATTAGGGGAAATTGACGAATCATGTTCATGAGGATAATACCGACTATTAAAATTTGAATGTTAGTTCAATGCGTTGTTAAGTTAATCATTTTTCTATGAGCCAAATGACATGGTCACTAATCGTGCGAATATTTCATATTTATTTATTTGCGTTCTACAAGCTTAGAGCCGTTGTGCACAGCAAAATAAGTTTAAAAACAAATGCATGGTATTAAGTTGATGTTTTAGCAAAATTATATCATAACGTATAAGCATTATAGAAAATATACAACCTATTTATTTATTCAAATAGACTGGTGTTTGTGACCTTTGTGTAGGGAGCTTGAAATTTTTTAAACTAAAATTTTTGCCTTTAAGGTAGACCGCACTATATCAAAAACGAACATTGCGGGTTTTTATAAATCATCCCAAGGTGACCTTTCGTGGTTCGATTTTATTTTTACCTTTACCTTTAATTTAGTTTGAGTATCAAGAACTCCATTTGGAAAACTGTACGTGGCCAGATGGTCCATTAATTGGGTAGATTCCTAGGTCAAAAATAAATTGATTCGATGTTTCAATACTATAAAATATTTAAAAATAACTATACTTTTATTCATCGATCGATCGATACACCAAGTTTTAGATTTTTTTAGCTAATTTTTGTGAAATAAGTAACCTATTTGACGCAAAAATGTTATGACGTCATAGCTCAGTTTTTCATACAAATTTCATAGAAAAGTATCGTTTTTGACGTTTGGATGAAAGTATTGAATTTGACTAGTTGGAAACTACCGTATTCATAGTTTTCATTATATGTCCACTGTGTCGTAGAACGATAGTTTACTTGCAGTATGCAACATGCATGTAAGCCATAACATAACAAAACTCCTATACCGCATGTTAAAAAATCGACTATCCTATACAATAGCTGTTTTTAATATATTAAAAGATCCTAAACAAAAACGTGATCTCTTTAAATTCCATGATCAAGAACATGTCCATAGCCCTTGCTACAATTTTTTGTATATTTTCGTTGATAGATAACTATAAAATGGACTTACCAATTTGATGTCAATCGGCAGATTCCTGTACTGGTTGTACCTATTCTTCATCTCTTCGTACGTCATGAACTGCAGCGCACCGTGAGAGACGCCAAACATACCGGGAACGAAGCCCTGGAAAATACGGAAAATATTTTTATTAATATCACCTTAGTAACATCCTGTGATGTACTTAGATGTTCACAAAAAAAAGAATATTTTCACTGTAATGAACATACTTGATACTAATTCTTTATCAAATTTCTACACTGAAATTTAACACAGTAATAATATAAAAAAACAAGTAAAATTTCCATGTGGATCAAATAGAACATTCCAGAAAAGTTCTGACAAAGGACGTGAACGGAAAAGCCACCCTTGATGGTAATTTACGGTAAATAAAACATCGAACCTGTTCTATATCCGTAGGGTATAATTTTTCACATTATTATAAGCACTCACGATAAATAAAAACTATTAAATTTAACATTCATGGCGACTATAACGCGATTCACGCTGTAGTCGCCATGATTGTGAGGAGATGAAAAATCGATACCCGCCGGCTAGAGGGTTGCGCTCTGTTACACGTGCAAAATTTATGGCTGTTTTCAAACGAACTTTTCATTGCTGAATAATGGAAAACGGGGGTAACCAAAATAAATGTATTATTCGAAAGCATTTATTTTATTCGAAACCCTTTCCAATTTCGTGTACAGGAGTCATTTAACTTAAAAATATTGTATATAGCGTGTAGACATTGTGTCGATCTAAAAATAATAAATTTGAATACATGAATGTTATTTAAACATTAGCATGACTATTTTTGTGAAACTTTGTTATAATGTTCTATAACATTGTCATACCCCGGGTATTGACTCGCAACGAATCTTTCGAGCCAAGGTTACATCAATCATGTGCCATCTGAGTACTTTATGTAAAAAACTAGAATATCATATTGCATTGTACGTTTGTACGTCACACAAATTGATGGAAATTAGCTCGTTCCTGTGTTTGATATGTGTTAAAATATAAAGTATGTGAGGAATATACAGTTCAGTAATTTAGGAAATAAAAATTGTATCGAATTAGAGAGATAGATATATTTTATGAAATTGGAAAGCCATATACCTATACAATTTCAAGTTCTTTTGATGTCCGTGTAAATCGCTATCAATCATAAAGACTATACTAGCTCTTTCATTTTTTCCTATCCCTTTCTTAATATTATTCAACATAAGAACAAATAGCTCAAAACTACGGAAGAATATACCTTTATTATTTCTTTACTAAACACTCATCACAATAATTATTTAAACTGATCTGTTTACTTGTATTTACTCATAAAGCTAAACGTTGCAAGGTCTAAAACATTTCTAATCACAATCGTACTATTTTCATAACAATATTATTGCAAGAAAATCCGTGTGTTGCACATGCATTCATGTGAATTGTAAATATTTGTACACTATCAGTGACATCACAGCTGTATGTATGACAGATTAGATGACTTATTTGATTTATTTACGTCGAGATTACAGACGTATGAATAAAATATACCGCTTATTTAGAAATTTCTGTTGAATCTGCCAACACTATGGGCCCTTGGCGTGACTCGAAATTGGCTGAGTTACCTCCTCGAATAGTTACGAGAAAAACTAGTACAAACATTATAACTTAATATAAGTATGTTACGAATAAGCCATACAAAAATTAATTGAATAAATCCTACAAATGTTTTTATTACAAAAAAGTACTACACTTGACAAAAATATCTAGAGATATCTATACTTATATTATAAAGAGGTAAAATTTGCAAGTTTGTATGTAGGGGGTAATCCTTAAAACCGCTGGGCGGATTTCCAAAATTCTTGCAATGATAGATAGCAACAATGTTCCTGAGTGCTATAGGCTATAAAACATCACGCTACGATCTGTAGTAGCCGAGCAGCGGGTCAAACGGGTTGGATTATAAACTGCTGACCTAAAAACGATACAGAAACGGCTCAAGTACTAGTTACTGTAATGAAATAACTTGATAACTTTCAGACAACAAAGGAGTATTATAGGCGTCTAACAGGCTAATACAACCAGTCACTTAACGCTAAAAGTGAAGGTCGTCTTTCTAACTTGATCCACGTGCTTAGATTTGGTAAATGGAATTAGTCTAACAGCCCAAATAAAATCGAACAAAATCTAAATCTAGAAATCTAGGTATGTGACAGAAACCCCATAGATTATTTTTTATAATTTCGATGCGTCGATAATTTTGGCCAGAATATTCAACCTTCAAATAAAAATACAAGGAATAAAAAATGTAACACGCACTTGAAGCATGACCATTAAAAAAACAGTGCCTAGCATATTATTGTGTCACATGTTAATTTAATGAATGGAAGATCCCATATTTTTTCATCCTCATAACTATTTATAGCTTCGTTTTAACTATATGTATAGCTACGAACAGTTTTAACTTTATTTATCTTCATTCTTCTATTAAATAAACATTTATTTTGTTTCAGGACTGCAAAAAATGCTGGTTGACCTTAAGAGTCGGGTCCACCCCACTGTGAATTAGCTAAGCTGCAACTTTATGAGTCATACTGCATTATTTGCCTGTCCACTACCTTATAAGACATTGATCTGACAGGAAATCTAAATCGGACTAGATTAACAAAGCAATTGATGACTCCACAATCGATTCCGTTTATCAATCAATGCTGACATTGTCGAGAAAGTTCCGTATTTTTAGAAGAATACCAAAAATCACGTGGCGGAATATCAAAATCTACTTTTAGAAGAATGTGATGTATTGTATGTTGTATCTAATCTTGAGGTGAATTGTAATATTATGTCAATTGTGATATCACTGTGTTGTCAACACAATACAAAATTGATGTCATATAAAGATAAACGGACCACAAATTAAGAAAACAAACAAAAATATTGTTTTTGTCTTTTCGGATGGAAATGTTATACGCAATTTGTACTAAATTCCATTGACTCATAGCTTAAAGAGAATTTAACTATTAACCAAACTTCCATTACATGCAACTTCGATTAAAATTGCATCATGGACAAACGTTTATTAAGGTTTGAGACAACAATAAACTAGTTTCACAGTCTAAAACGTCCAAAGCCCACAAATCTAGCATTATTAGTATCGAATTTTATAACTTAACTTTAACAGAATAAAATACATTTTGCAATGACCACACCGCATTAGTTAACGTACTGAATATATTACTAATATCGCAATCCGAATTCCATATCTTTGAACTCTGAACGAATGAGAATAACAGCTGACCGGTTTGAACTGGATTGAACATTCGATATTCAGAAGAGACCCAATTATAATATGTATTATCATTTATTTGATTCTACTTAATGGCGCAGATCGTTAAATTTGTTTGGCTCGAACGCATGGTAAAATATGCTATATGCTATGTAACATAAAATTGCATTTACCGAAACTGAATCCCATTCAAAGCCTTGACAAATGGATTTTGTTGGAGATGCACGTGTAAGAATGAAATGCGATGGTAAATAATGCGAGGTTTTTGCATAGATTTTATTGTAACAAATTTTTTTAAAAAGTTAAGTACACTATCGTAAATAGATCAAAAAGACATGACCTTTCAAATAAAACATCAGACAATTTCACATCGATATTCGTTAGTACAAATACAACGCTAGCAATCAATGTGTCTACGTTTATAAATTCTCGTCCATAAAATCCGAACATTCGTGCTGACCTTGTCAAAGCTTTCTAACGCAACATCATAAGCCCTCGTGCCCGCCCTTGGAAGATACCAAGGTCGGAAGGTGACCTACATATGTATGTTGGTATACCAAACCATCGTGTGCCTTATAGTCATAAACAATTCTTTTTACGATGTTTCTGTACTTTTTTATTAGGTACAGAGGTGACTTTTGTAATAAATTGAAAGATTTGAAAGTTTTCGTGTACCTACATGATAAATAACAATGTATTTTTTATGAACGAGGTCAATGAGCGGTTTATCTGATGGTAAGCGATCAGCGCCCAAGGACGTCTATAACACCAGAAACGTCACAGGAACGTTGTCAACCTTTTAAGAGAGGAGTACGCTCGTTTCTTGCAGGTTTGAAAGTTGCATCGGTTCGGAAATACCGCCGCCGAAAGATCCTTCAAAATTATTGCTTTCCGAAATTGAAGATTTTGAATTAACTGAAAAAAGCCTTACTAGTTTAATGTCATAGCGGGACTCTTATTTATGAGCATCGTGCATGAAACTATTAGAATTTTTCTCAGTTAAATCAAGTGAGTAAGTCGTACATTTCAATAAATTTGCTATTATCTATAGCAAATTTCACATTTAATTCCAAATAGTAATCTGAGTAATCAAGTCTTTTGGTAGTCTGTGATAGAGACAGCCCTGTCTCTATGATCTGAGACAGCAGCGCGACCAGGCATGGAATTTGTGACAAAGCTCTATTAAGATAAAGTTTAAAATCCAGTACCTACTATATCACGAGCTATTGATGTAAAGAATAGGATTAAAACTCTATTGGGAAAGTTCCTATCCACTTAGGTGACTCACCTATTTGAGAACACAATCAATAAAAAATGATTGAGCTATCACTTCAATCTAATATAATAACGTAATGACGTCAAATATTCTAAGGTCCTTGAACCGATCAATACTTCGATATTCCATGGATGGGCAAAATAGAAATTCGATTGAGAAATGAATTATTCATAAGAGTGAAGGTTTTGAGAACTGTTATTGATGAACCAGGTGTATTGGAAAAGTTATATAAAAAGTGAGTTATACTTAATTTTATTAACTAGAAATCAAGAAGCACAGTAAGTATAAATCAATTCAGAGAGCTAGACAGAATACAATTTGTTATAAAATAATAACCTAATAACCTACATGAGTTAAACAAAAATAGTCTTTATTGGAATTACGGCTTTCACGATTTACATCTGGCAAAAACATTAGAAAAATACTAATCAATAACGACCAACAGCAAGGAACAATTTAACTTTGCGATTAACACTCTCTTAATTATCATACTATGCAATAGTCAAGATACAGAGCCAAAACCAGATCATGCATTTCAATAGACTATTTAAGGCACTTTTGAACATCAAAGTGTGGGAGAGCCATGCTTCGACACGAATGGGTCGGCTCGACCGGAGTGATACCACGGCCTTACAGAAAACCGGCGTGAAACAACCACAGCGTTGTGTTTCGCCGTGTGAGTGAGGTTACCGGAGACCCAATCCTTCCCCTTCCCGGACCCTTCCCCAATCCCTAAATCTCCAAATCCCTAATCCCTAAAAGGTCGGCAACGCACTCGTAACTCCTCCGTTGCGGGTGTCCATGGGCGGCGTTGATTGCTTACCATCAGGTAATCCGTATGCTCGTTTGCCGACTTATTACATAAAAAAAATCAAACAAATGTATAAGATAAATAATCTGTACTACTTTTTTTTCTCGCAATCCATAGAGGGTCGAGAACTAGTCGAGAGAAGCCTAAATTACCGGCATAAAACTTAAACAATAGAAATAAAGGAAATAATTACCAAAGCACACATCTGTCACACGGTTACTCATACATTATTTTTAGTAGACCAGAGCACGTGATACAACCACTACAGAGAATCGTCACCGCATACAAATAAATACATAACAGTCCTTTGTTTAAGATAACATGATTTGATTGATCATATCGTAATGCACCAAAGTGAAATAATCAGGTTACGTACAACTGCCCGTATCAAAATCTTCTACAGTTAAACTCCATCAAAAAGGTTGCCTGGAAGATATTGCTTTTTAGCGCCGCCCATTGTACTGTGTTAAGTGTTTTTTTTTTATTCCTATGTTTTTTCTATGTTTATTCTATCCTTTCACGGCACCACAGGGTCCCGGACCTTTGGAAGGCGTACGAGGAGCCGAAGCCAACTCGCAAAGGCCCGTTGAACAGTTTTAATCTAAATGTGATTATTATCCCTGTATGCACTATATAAGTGCACCCAAGGACAATCCCCGGTTGATGCAAGACTATTGTGAAATGTGGTAAAAATTGATAGGGTAATGAATATGGGTTGCTATGGACTGGTGGATATGATAACTATGGAAATACTATGGCCCCTGCCCCTGACCAATATTGATACATACGGATAAACAGGCAGGGGGTGACTGGCAAACTCAATTAATGGGCCCCCGGGAACGGCCGCTAGCATGTAGCGACACGGAGGCAACATACGTTGAGCTGCTTGGGGAAGGAGAGGCATCCCACTGCTATCAAAGCAATCCCGGAAGTACGGTCAAGACCCCTACCAGCACCTTACTGAGATACATCCTTCCCCCGAGTCTCCTTCAACTCCTACTCTTGCGAATCTCCACTCAAGCCAGCCAATTAAGGCAAGAATGAGGTAGGAGAGCTTGTTCCTAATCAGTGTTCACTCCAGCTCGTCACGAGAATTAACCGGAGAGAGAAGAACAAGACATCTCCCGGGAGTCAGGTCCGTGGGCTCGCCACAAGCTGCCTTGCGGATCTATGTTTTTATATTATTATGGCGTACAATAAAGTTTTGTATTCATAACTTGTATATAATCAATCAGTTTTAAAGAGTTTGAGTAAAAGACAGTTTGTCCCAAGAAAGACTAACTTTTTTTGTGAATCTCCCACGTGAGATGGTGCAGTGTAAAAATTAATAAGGTACATTTGATACCTACTGGTGCGAGAGGGGTGATTTCTTATACTTCCTGAGGGTACTATAAGAGCTCTCTGTTATACCAATGGTTTGCTATATAAAATTATATATTTTTTTAATGAAACCCTCATTCTCGCTACTTTGGATATATCGATAAAGAACTCACTTACATATTTAGAACAAATAAAACCTGAGCTTTTTAAAAGTACAATAATAGTATTAATGAATATTGGAACTAAGTACTGGAGAATCGAACATAAAGATTACCTAGCTACAGACAGTTACGATTGCGATTAAAGTGTTGTGAATCATACATACATACTTACATAACAGTAACTGTTATATTTACCGTATCTGTATGTGTCGACTAATCTCGAAAACGACTGTATTGATTTTGATAACACTTCACCGAATGAAGATTGGCTTGGAACACAAAGTTATTAAATAATAATATATGAAATGATATTGGGACATAGCATATTAATAATAAGCTCCACTTAATAACTCAGAGTAGGCAGTAAACAATTATTTTGCTAAAAATGATATTTAATATTTATCACAACAGAAAAATCAGGACAGGAGATTTAAGTATTTTAGTTATTCGATATCACAATACCAATCGATCACACCATCAGCCGATTATTTATCTTATAAGCAAATGACGTAATATAACATGAAAATATTTATAAATAGGTATAATAATACGACAATATTTACTGTATTATGAAAATTCGACGTCAACTGAACTGATTTGTCATTGTAAATCGTCATGAATTTCTGTTGAAAGCATGGACTAGTTCCATCCTTCGTCCATGGCCGTAGTCCAATAAAACCTGGATAGCATTCATCACCTATTTAATCCTAATAATAATCCTTCGTCTTGAAGCCAGAAGGAACATTGGATGTTGCCGACCGTTGAAAATAGGCTATGGTTTTAATAGTTTGAAGATCGTACCGGTTAAGCAATACAGTTAGCTTAGGCCGTCGCGTCGCGTCGCGGTATTGTAACGTATGCGGATGAATTTTTATTCCCACGTGAGAGACGGGATACCAAGGTTTTTAGTCAGTAAAAGTCTGACAGTCCCCTTCGTCTCCCCGGGCGAAGGGGCTCAGGGCAAAAAAAAGGTATTGTAAAGTAGCAAGTACGAAATGTGATTTAATCTGCCATGACAATAAGTCCCTATTAAAACTAAACCACACATGGCGGAAAATAACTTACCTGAAATCTAAATCATAATTTCAAAGCCAGAAGGTATGTTTTCATAATTAAAATGGAGTAGCAAAATAGTATAAGATTTGTATCGGGCCAATATCTAGATCGGGGCAACATTCGCAGCTGATTTGCACGTGATTTTCTAGTTCGTAGCGAGCGAGTTGACGCGACTCGCATCTTATCGGACAAGCGGTCAACCTGATTATATTGCACACAAATATATATAGCAATACAACATTTTATATGTACTTCCAGTAAAGTACAATTCGCAGTTGCCATGCGTTTGATTAAATAATTTTAATTATAGTAGCAACCTCTTTTGAACAATTTTATCGAATAGGGATGATCAGATGTTTTTACGTCCTTGTTTTAGTATTGGTTACATCATTAGACACGTAGTTAGAATCATATATTTTAGATGATATATTGACTTGAAATATCGTGGAACGTCCCGATTTTATATGCCTGAGTAGTGAGTATTGTATAGTAGATGTAGCGACCTCCCTGAACTTTTTAGTTATAATACGATATGACCAATTATATTTTGAATTGTCTTATCCTGCCATGATCCCTATAAATATAAAATACGTGTCTAGTATTTGAAATGCATGGTAATAACAGTTAATAGATTACTTTGGATGTTTAATGTGACTTATGTCTTAAGTACTAATATGTATGGCGAATAATGGGTGTATTTTATTAGTCATATTAACACTCATAATGGACTGTTGATTTTGATAAGTATTATTCCTGCATGTACAGGCGCTGAATACGATATACTTTAATTCGCGCTGAAACAAATGACTATCAGACCTATCTCCTGTATTTATCAACCACTCGACATTATCATCACCGGTAGACGTATTACTGATGACGTCATGACATAATAATAAAACTAACTAAAATCATATCCACGAGATTTGTTTTCCTGCAGACGTAACCGTTTATTAGTCTGTGTAGAACTTGATAAAATATGAAACGATTTCACCAATATACCTGGCAAAAACGAAGAGGGTAGAAGTTATTACAGTTTATAAAAATACTCACCCTGTATAGTCCCCGGATCCCTTCGGTCCTGTAGATCTTCATGAGGCCGTCGATCATGCCCTTATACCGTTTGTGCTCAGCCAGATGTTCCTCGCTGTACTGGAGACAGAGACGTGTCTTCACCACCCATATGGGGTTGGTCATCACAAGTGACAGCACTCCAGCTTCTGCCGCAGCCAGCATGTGCAGGCCGGGGCCAAGCGGCGTACGCGCATTTCCACCTTGGATCCATGTTTTTATTGCGTTATAACTGCGAACAAAATAAAATGAAGGAGACATTAATAAAAGTGGGGTTTTCATTTATTTAACACCCTATATATTGGGATATGGTCTAAAGACAGTGAAGAAGGATAACAAAGTTGCAAAGGACGATTATAAAAGTTTATTGTAGCTCAGAGAAAATAAAGACGATATTTGCTTGTGTCAGCAGCTAGAAGCTATTATATCTGAAATACAACAACTTATAGCTGCTAAAAATGTCTTCAATTACATTTTCAAAGTGCCCTTGCCCGGCTATAAGTACAGTAAAACGATAGAAGAATTCTAAATCGAAATTAACCCATTAAACGCTGACACGAATGTTTGTTTTGGCAGTTTTCTCGAAGTGGCACGTGAGCTAACGCATGTGCGATTAAACCCATACAAACGCGGATGAGGAAAATTTAAGGTTACAGGTTTAGAAGGACGCTTGGGGAAAACACAGTTCTTACTTATTAATTAAATGTCTGCTCAAATCCAAATCGGTAAAATTTTTATTATTATTGTTACAAGTTCTAGATCTTTCGTTATGATTACAACACAAATTTTATAACCACGCCTACATAATAGAGGCCCTAATTAAGGTTAGCTTCCAAAAAAATACAAAGAAACTATTACGACAACACGAAGATGAAAGAATGAAGGGCATTATGACGTACATCAGGTGCGTGTCTAAGTGAGAGTTGGCATAATGCCAACTTAGACATTCCGAATCAAATTGAAATGACTAAGTGCATTTGCGTTCCTAAATGGGAGTTTCTGCATAACACAAGAAAGTGGATGCTTCCTAGATAGTACATAAGGTAAATTCATTAAGGAGTTTCATGCATTAGGTTCTATAAATAAAACGGTAAACATATGACAGCTAATGATACGCAAATTTTTGGAATTTTTGCTATACGCGGCACCGATTACTTGGTTTTCATTACCAAAATATACAAATAAATAGTGAATTTCTACCGTATTTGGAACTGTTACTTCGAAATCAGTTCATTGGTGATCGCCTATGATCATAAGTATTACGAGGACTGATCAGCCAGACTGTCAGTCGCCGACGCAATTTGAATCTAACAAGCGTTATTAAATGATGATTTTTGTATTTTTTACTGTGGGAATAAAACATTTTTATTTTATTACTCGCGACAGGTGCAAAACTCGTAATTACAAAATTTCTCCACTATTTAATAAATGTCATTATGCATATAAAATTTCCTCTGCAATCACTCTTATCTCCTTAAAACCGCATAATAATCCGTTGCGTAGTTTGTAAGATTTAAGCGTACATAGGGACAGAGAAAGCGAGTTTGCTTTATACCATATAGTTATGGATACATAAATAAAATTAAAAAAAAAACAATAACATTCAAAGTTATAAACATAATGATAAATTCCAGAACAACGCAAGAATCAGGGACACAGGAAAAAAAACAAAAACATATGTCCCATAAATTTTGTGAATAAAAACATCTTAAACAGATTATAAACATGTGCGGATATACAAAGAATTGTTGTATCTGAAGATATTTAGCGAAACAATTGATTCGAGAAAACGTGATTCAATATTCACGTTTTGTGGCGCTCTATGCGTTCCGACCACAGATTACAAAACCTTTTGTTTTATCTGTGATTCCGATATACTAGCTGTATTTACCCACGTTCACCATCGCCATGTGGAATATATTCACTGACTATATATCTTAGCTTTGTACCCGAGTGGCTTTAAGTAGATGCAAATACTTTTGCACTATGCGTCAATTTATTTAATAAACAAAACACTCCATTGCAATTTGCATCAATTTACTATTAGAACAAAGCGCTTCTATGGTTTAAATAAAGTATTTGAAATGAGAAATGTGCATAAAATTGACGCACACGCACGCATCTTTGAAATATTTGTATTTTAGACTCCAAGCAAAAACCTTAAGTTTAGGTACAGGAAAATTTTAAGAAATTCTTACAAAGTTGTTCACAATTAGTAAATACTTAGTATAATACGTATAAGAAGTATTATGTTATATACATATAACACCTATGTACAAATTGAAAATGTTATCTTAGCCTTAATGTACCTAAGCTAGTGCGACTAGTTACATACTTCCGCAAATAAACAACAAATAGAATGACCATGATACAAGACAAGTTAGTTCCTATCTATCACAACGACAACAATTTGCGGAAATTCTATTTACTTGTACAATTACATAGAAGAGATTTCCCCTATATTTATCGATAAGCGATGTATAGATATCAAAGAAATCGTAATGGAAAATACATTCATGGTCACATTTATTGTTGTCACAAATCGTTTCTTCTCAATTGAACATTCAGACAGAACGATTATGTAACCACAATGGAGAAATATAATTTATCGCTATCGCTAATTACTTGATTAACAATGAGCAACACGTGTGTAGGAAATTGATCGTGGATTATTGTTTTATGTGATAATATGTCAAATGAAAGCAATTAGTGTAAATTGGTGACGATTTTCATATAATATAGTACAGTCTTGACTTTTTTATACGATTGGCGCGACACAAAACAAAACAATTCTTCGTCTATCCACTATTTATTGTTCCGGATCTGGGTGTAATGTGTACGCGAAATTGTATGTCTTTAAACACACCCACGAAACATGGGAAAATCGTAGTGTGGGGCAACGTTGTTTCCTAATAGTTCACTATACCTACATGTTCATTATTACAATGCATTTTTTTATCTTTTACCAATGGATAAAGACACTTCTATACACAATAACAACGACCAGCATTGATATTATTTCCGTCTGTAAAGATTTGGTTTATTAACTCGTTATCTTTGTTGGCTTTGACTGCTACGTTTAGTTCAGTGGGTCTATCTCAATATTTATATAAACGCGATAACATGGCAATCTTTTTGCACGAATTCGTAACAACTATAAGCTCTTTGGACGTTTCATTTTAATAGAAAAGAGGTTATACATCGAATAATTACAACAATTTCTCGTTGTCGCTTCATAAAATTAAAGTTCTATATTCAAAATTTCAAATTATGAATGTTTGACTATCAGTATAACTGTAGCGGAAGGGGCGGGCAATACGTTTCCATTTTAACGAGCGAACTTCGTACCAAATCATCAATTTGGAAATCTTGCCAATTTCCAACACGAAGACAGCTCATGCTAAATGATGAAATTTTGTTGAGTAAATTGACTACTAAACATTAAATGGTAAGATCGTATGCAAATACTTGGGCGATTTTATTCAGAGCTTGTCCAAAGGAGGTCAGAAATGATCCGCTTTTTTTTGTAATAGCGAAGATAATCTTGTATCAGCACATTCAGCTTGTGTATTAACGTACTTACAGTGTTGATCTTAGGACATACACTAATGTAAAGTGAGGGAATTTTAAATAAACATTGACGTTATTGTGTACACAATGTAACAAAGGCATAATGCACGTGCCTGTCGCTAGTGAAGAAGTTTCAAGTTCATTTTTTGAAATTAATTAACAATACACACTTCAATTCTGGTCTGACGTGGACTGACGCGGTGGAGGGTTATCCGGTCGTTGACAGTCAATTGTTACAATTTTTCTTCTTCAAGACTATTTCATTATTATTTATATAAATTATAAATCCAACTAATGAGTGTTCGGTCCACCACTTAATCATTGTGAATTGTGGAGAAACACGTAAACAGTGTAAAAATTTTAACTCAACGATCTATAAACTGAGTGCTATAGAGACCTAAATCTACACTAGCGCCACCACATGTGAAATAAATAATGACTCTTCACTACCAATTCTTATTACAAATTAAGATACAATATCACGTCATCGACCTCAATCATCTCTTACCTAAATTATATCATGAGAATTCTTAACTTGCACGGGTTTGGACGGTTGCCCGAACATAGGCTATAGGCTTGCTAAGTTGACTCGCGTAGTATAAAGTACAAGGGCCAAAGTAAACGTCAATACAACGTCGTATATTTGACGAGATTACACACCTCTAGCCACGTGATTGATACGAATAGTGAATACTGACTTCATGTGTTATTGACTTATTGTGAAACGTGTGCTGTTAATTTTTATTACCGCCAGCTGCGTAAAATGGGACGGGTTTGTGTGTTATATCGTATGAAATGATACCAAATGCAAGATTTTACAAGCGTAGCATAACTCGCAATGTAAGGTAATAAGCAGCTGAGCATCGATGCTAAGCCTTATAACTTTACTCAAAGCAATAAAGTGTCTTAAAAATGTGCCCATCCTTATAACAACTTATTCACGACGAAGAGGAAAAGCTTAATCAGCTGTTAGAATCAATTACCCTAACAATATGGTTGCAATCTGACAAGTAATAAATAAAAGCATTGTTTTAGTGTAACACTTAATCGAAAACAGTAAATTAATCACTAGCTGTGTGTTCTATTTATGTGAAACATTGTACTTGTATGTTACTATGTACTAGGTGATTAGGGAGTAAATATAAATTATCATTCATAAGTAATGTGTTTGAAGCACGCGCTTTTCGCCAATTTCGTTAATGGCTTACTAAGTGTTTATTTTGAAATGTAACATTAAAAGGTTTTCACTGATTGATTACACCTAGACCTAATTTGTGGGTAGATTGGTCAACAATCACTATAACTCAATGCTTGCTGAGAGTTTTCTTCACGTTTACTCGATCGAAACGTCACCGCGTTAAGCTCTCGAATTGGTTGTTTATCTTGAACAGGCCAATCAGGGCGTCGAAAGCATTTTAAGTTAAAGAAAACTCGCACAGGGCACTCTGGATGAACAACTTACGTCTAGACAAATACAAAAAAACGCAAGTTTTAATGCAGTTTTTTCATATTTCAATGATTGGTTGAATGTGTTGGAAACCTACTACCAAGTTTTACATCCAACACTATTTACTATATCTGCAAGTGCTGAATGTAAAACAGAAAGATGAAAAAATACTCACAATAAAAAGTAGAAGCCCCATGCAGAGCCTGATCCCCATACGTTAGGTGTGACGCCTCTGTACAGTCCTTTCACTCCCTCCTTTTTTACAATAGTGACAAATGCGCTTCCGAGCCCATCGTACCTAGGAACTGTTGCGGTCCTGCCGTCATTAACTGGAAAAAATATATTTTTTTACAACTTTGTTCATGGAAAAGAATTGTATTTGTTAAATCAAATTGAATGACAATAAATAAGAAGATAGTTGATAATATTCTTTGAGCAATTTCGCGTTTCAGTGTAACACTATTTAGGAAAATAGTTTTATTTAGAGAGCTAAATGATAATTTTGTTTGTTTTTATTGTTTATTCTGTATTTTATATAAGTAATTATCATATGACATATTTATTTTGCATTTCAAAGTACCTATTATTAAACAAATTGTGTTTTTATTGAAAACAATTGTAATAATGTACAAGTCATTTGAAATGCAAAAATGCTCTTTGATTTTTCCAGTTAGGTATTAGCAAATTGTTATTGAAAGAAAAATATTTATTTAAAAGTAAACATAAGTTACTACTCGTGCGCGATAACATGGCACCTGGCGTGAATCAATCACGTTTAAAGAACTGAGTTTACTTTTTTTGTTTTTAATTTTATTTTAGTTTTGTGTATGTTAATACTTATTTTACGCTATTGAGTTTCTCGTAATGTACTTTACGATATTTTGAATGCAACCAAACAAACAATTTTTGTGGATTCAATGTTCCAACTGTTTTTGACCCAGGTGCCATCTTATCGCGCACGAGTTATATGATTCAAATGATTACTTGGTAAGGTACAAATATTTTTGATGTTTTAATGCTGTAAAACAGCAAATAAAGTTGGTTTAAAAGAATCAGTTTCATTCATTGATTAAAACTAAATTAATTTACAAGAAGAATGCATTCTGACACAAAAAATAATGTGATGTGACACACAGTCTAATACAAAATTCAGAGATACTTGATGATAATAACTAAATAAATAAAAAATTACTTAGTAGTTTTTAAGTACTCAATTTTAAAGTAAGTGTGTAACTATTAAGTAGTGTTAGGAGAAAGTGTGTAAATGCCAACTTTCATCAGCTGTTATACTAAGGCAACTTAGGGCTTGTATTATAATGTCTGATAAAGTTGCTATTAGCTTTACACATGCATTATTAAGACTAACAGGATCTTATTATTAGTGAAACCTTAGATTAGAGATGTATGCATGGAAACATGACAAAATATTTTGAAATAGTGAAGGGAATTATAGCTAGTTTTATGAACTAAGGAGTTCTTAATTCATAAAACATGTGGTAACAGATACATAGCAGGCTTAGGTTGCATCATTGAGGAAGTTATCTGTACAATGTAAACAAAGCTGTCTTGTCCTCACTTTCACTGCATGAAGTTCAAGGTTGACATCACCAAAGGTTTATTAATAACTTAAGATTTATTAAATAATTATTATCAGTCATTCGACACGAGCTTAATCGCATGTCGTCAGAAAGTGAATCGATAATATTTAACCTTATAAAATCACGAGACCTCACATGGTAATTACGTGAAATAAATTTCAGTACTCACCAGCAAATCTAATTTTAATTAAATCCAAAGGGTGCAATATGAGTGTGGAAGTCACGCCACCTGATATGCCAGCTACCAGGTGCTCGTACTTGATGTGGCTAAACAATGCCTTAGAAGACGACGAAGTAGGATTCTTCATTGTAGACATGACGAATTTTCTAAATCACAGTTAAAACTTTTGATAGCATCTTGTGGGGACCCCGTCAACACCTATGCATTACCGGCACACACTTTCCCAAAAATCTTTGACAAAACTGAATTTAACACAATCTTCACTAAACATCGTTGCTCTCGTAATAATCCCACGAATTACGTGCGATAAAAAATGAACGATTTCCAGAGTGATTGAACATGTCGTTCCTTTTCCCGTGATTTAACAGGCTTGCTAATTTTGAGAAAGACTATTTTGCTTGTAGACATCAAAACTAAATAAAGTAATGACACTTTCGTGATTTTCTCTTCGAGCACTACCTACTTTGACGTGATTAAGTAATCAAATAAAAAGGTTTTATAAGATTTCAGAATAACTTGCGACATCGCCTGTTTCAAAAAACCTATCTAACCTTTTTGTACACGACCGTAAAACGGAACAGCTGACAAAATTACGTCACAAATACAGATGTGCAATTTTTCGTCTAGCCATAGAGACTAGATATATTTTTATTTTTTTACTCAAAATCTTATCTTTATACAACACGGAATATTGGTCGTATTACAGTTTATAGAACTGCAATAGGAGAAAAACTTATTTAAAATGCGATATTAGTGCAAGTTACAAAAAATCAATATTGACGTGCCATATAAAAATAATTAATTTCCACAGGGTAGAAAAGATCGCAACTGACTTTTAAAATAAATGAAATACAAATCTTGCTCACAGAAATATAATATTATTTTTTTAGGGCTGACTAATTGTGGACCTATTGATTTTTTTAAATAAGTTTTAAATGAATCTATATTTAATACAGGATAAAAATTAAAAGAAAGAAATTGGTATTCTTTAAATGTTGAAGGCAGGCAACATTCTTCCTCGCCTTCATCGTTTTTTGACGTCTTGAAACTATTGCCCATTTATTACGTAAATCTGCGAGCAAAAATTTACAATAAAAAAGGATCAGAATCACAGCAAAAATGTTGAAGGTGGCGACTACTTTGAGATTAGTCTCAAGACAGGGCAATCAGGTGCGTTTATTAGCGACAGCTGCTGGTTACAAGGAGGCATTAGTCAACGTTCCACCAACAAAACTCTCAGTGTTAGATAATGGAATCCGCGTTGCGTCTGAAGATTCCGGTGCTGCGACCGCCACCGTAGGACTGTGGATTGACGCCGGATCCAGGTACGAAAACTCCAAAAACAATGGAGTTGCTCACTTCCTTGAACACATGGCGTTCAAAGGTACAAGCAAAAGGTCGCAAACCGACTTAGAACTTCTCGTAGAAAACATGGGTGCCCATTTGAATGCTTACACGTCTCGGGAACAAACCGTGTTCTACGCTAAGTGCCTAGCTAATGATGTACCAGCCGCCGTAGAGATCCTTGCTGACATCATTCAGAACTCATCGCTCGCAGAACCCGAAATCGAACGAGAAAGAGGTGTAATTCTACGCGAAATGCAAGATGTCGAAAGTAACCTGCAAGAAGTTGTTTTCGACCACCTCCACGCCACTGCCTTCCAAGGTACACCTTTGGGTCAGACCATCCTTGGACCCACCAAGAACATAAAGAAGATCTCCAAAGCTGACCTTCAGAACTACATCAAGACTCATTACCAGCCTTCTCGAATTGTTCTTGCTGGAGCTGGTGGTGTTGACCACCAGAAACTGGTTGACCTTGCCAGCAAACATTTCAGTGGATTAAAGAACACTGTTACTGATGTAGAACTGACACCATGCCGTTACACTGGGTCTGAGATCAGGGTGCGTGATGATTCCATGCCTCTGGCTCATGTTGCTATTGCTGTTGAGGGTGCCGGCTGGACCGACGCTGACAACATTCCTTTGATGGTTGCCAATACTCTTATTGGAGCTTGGGACCGCTCTCAGGGTGGTGGTGTAAACAACGCCTCCTACCTGGCTCGTGCTGCTTCCTCTGCCAATCTGTGCCACAGCTTCCAGTCATTCAACACTTGCTACAAGGACACTGGACTTTGGGGCATTTACTTTGTAGCTGAGCCTATGCAGTTAGAGGATATGTTGTACAATATCCAGAAGGAATGGATGAAGCTCTGCACCTCTGTCACTGAGGGTGAGGTAGAGCGTGCCAGGAACCTCCTAAAGACTAACATGCTGCTGCAGCTGGATGGCACCACCCCAGTTTGTGAAGACATTGGTCGCCAAATGCTTTGCTACAACCGTCGCATCCCCATCCATGAGCTGGATGCTCGTATTGAAGCTGTGTCTGTACAGAATGTGCGTGATGTGTGCTACAAGTACTTGTATGACCGCTGCCCAGTAGTTGCTGCTGTCGGACCCACTGAAGGTCTGCCAGACTACACTAGGATCCGCGCTGGAATGTACTGGCTTAGGGTGTAAACAATTGTAGTTGTACATTATAGAAACATTATTTAAATCAGTTAAGATCGGAAAAAAAGCATTAAACATTTTTCTCCCAATGTCTGTCGTTTTATTGTAATAAAACACAATGTCTTGGTTGAATCTGTATTTATTAATAGGAGAATAAGAAGTAATAAAAGTGTAAATAAACATGAGTTTTTGTATTTTCTTTTTTTATTTCACAATTGGCATGAACATTCAATTCCAAAAAGTAAAAGTGATTTAGCATGTTGATACATAATTAAAACAATTAATATGAATCATGTTGGCTATGCATGTGTGTGAGAGTTACATTCTCCAAATAATACAGAACCAATATGCCATTAAAATAATAATATAATATATGATAAAATAATAATAATGCTAGCTTGATATTCTCATCAATAAATTATTCCATACTTCACATCAGATAATTTATCCAAACTGAAGTTTTATACATAGACATGATGATGTATTTGGTCAATAACAATAAACCTTTGAAAAATAAACATTTAACAAGGCAAGAGGGAAATATATCTCTTACTTTAGGGAATAAATATTATTTTTATTGCTTATAAAGTAACAGTGGTTGGGGTCGCTTCGACACCTACAGATACTTCTTCTTTTTCTTGTACGCTGGTGACACTAGGTTTCCTTACAACGCTGGGTTTGACCTTAGTTCCATATGGTTGAACTGGCTCCGTATGACTGATCAGGCTCGCAGAGGATATAAAGACGGAGACCTGTTCCGGTGTCGGACAGGCGACAATCAAAGTATCTTCGTAAGTATACCCCGCGTTTGTTAGCAGCTGCTCTATTTGCACGAAGTAGCCGACTACGTTGTTCTGAAAAAGGTTACATTCATAAGAATCATTTTAGTATAGGCAAGTCTCATTGAAATTGGTTGCGATCGACATCCAAATAGTGAGGATGATACTAACGTTTTGTCAAATTGTTACTAAGAATTTTTGGAACAGAAAAACTACGAGCATAGTGTTTCATCAGAGGCCTTCTAGTTTTAAGACGCAGTTTATATAGGTAGATCTCTATCCGCAAAGCCGACATCTAATCAGGAATGTATTTCTTATAGGATAGGGTGGCAAACCAGCATGGGCAAGCAAAAGGTTCCGGAAAAGGCATCCGCAATACCAGAGAAGAAATAACGTCAACGATATTCGCGTGCGTTGCCTTTTTGGGGTTAGAGATTTGGAGATGTAGGGGGGACGTTAAGAACTGTCAGCATCCGGTTGACTGTGAAGCCACAGAAATCTGACTATGACAGTCATGTGTTCCAAATAATCATAATTATTAGTTCGTAAAGCTCAATACTAACTATTATTACACCTTCGTATATGTACATATATATTATTATTACTATCAGAATAGCCAAAAATATAATAAAGTGTCTCTGTCTTACCCTGATAGGTCTAAATAGAATGAACTCAGTTTCCTTATTAGCGAGATAGAGTTGCATAGACCGCTGTAATGGCGCCAGATGGGCTTTTATTTTCTTCTGCGCTTCTTTCACGGCCACGGCTATCTCTTCTGGTGTGGCCCACGGCTGGGACTTTAGCTGTTCTATTGGTGCAAATGCTGTTGCCTGAAATGGTGGAAAAGCAGTAAGTACAGATCGAGACGTTTATGCAGAAAAGTGCAGCTACCGGACAAAATGACAATAAAATCGTTATAATAGGTATAGAATAATATTGATCAAGGAATGGAAAATGAATTTAATTTCTTATTTTTAAAATTTAGAAGATCTTTTCTTTGATGTTGAGTTTTAGACTCTTTGGACTGTTTTGGAAATAAATATTATACTCTTTCTTACAGAATTTATATTGGAAACGTATATTCAATCTTATAAGAATTAATTACGATTTTGAATATCGTTTTCTTTTTGTTTTTGATGGCGAAAGAACAACAAATGACTTCTCGTTAATTCGTACCTAATTGGCATGGGTATGCGATGATGCGAGCTACGAAGGAGCACGCCTACCCAAACCAAAAATCCAGGTTATACATATCGGGAAAGAGATTCCGCAATCCCGGATATTTGAATATACTTAGATAGTTAGATCGGCACGTTTTCAAATTTATCTACTGAATGATTCAATCACATCTATGAGTGAAAAGTTTGAGATATTATTAAGATTTTACAGTGCATTGTTGCTGTTTGCATGGTGACACTAACTACTTAAAAACTCTGCATCAAATTCCACTCACCTTCTCAATAAACGCTATCATGGGTCCGGCGAGTATCTCCGTGGCGTCCTTGATGAACAGTTCACAGCAACTCTTGAGCTGCCTGTCGACCTCCTTCCTCGAGTCCAAGAGGTGTTCCCTCACCATCGGAGTACCTTCCAATAAGAACTCTAACAGCGCATTATTAGAGTTCAGAGAAAATATTTGTCTCGGCTTCTGTATCAAACCATACGCTGCATTCTTCATGTTACTAAAGTCCAAAGTCGTCTCTTTCACAATAAAATCGACCTGGAACGGCGCTATTTGTTCCCTAAGAATCAACAAATGCTTGATTTGGAATAATTCACCGTCTATATTAGTGGCGTTGATCGAAATTTGCTTGGCTGCGTTGTCAACGCTTTGGACGCATAGAGAGATTGCTTCTTGAGCTAACCCTTGGAAGACTTTTTTCTCCAGACAGCGGTAGAGTCTTGATAAAGCTGCTAACGTCCTTCTTACTCCCGGGTACCACATTCCGTGCAGGTCTGCTGGGGAGGCTTGTGGTCGTTTCTGTGCTTCGACATTGATGTTCGCTACTTCTTGCGACGTGGCGGAAATGTCGGAAGTCATCGAGTTCCGCGAGTCGCTCCGTTTGAGGGACTGCTCTTGGATTGACATTGCGATTTGCTGTGGAAAGGTAGGTTTTTGATTATTTACAGGTAATTTTATTTCACGTCTGTTTTCTGTGAGGTTTTTTCGTCTAGGCGACCCCTTTTTGCCACGAAAACAAATTGTTGGACAAGAAAACTATATTATAGACGTCAATGCTTTTTTTTGTCAGGGGTAGATCATCAAATGACTTCTCTAGCTCAGGGTTAGGCGAGAGAGAGTGTCAGACTTACTAACTAAAACCCCCCCGTTCCTTCTCCTGCTCTGGGCCGAAGCCGCGGTGAGTCATTGCGCTTACCCCGCAACCCCGGCTGAACATCAGCCCTATAGGGCCCCGTCTGTGGTGGTCTATTGACTCTATGAGGCGCGCGCGGAACGCTACGCGCCGTACGCTCGGGTCTGGTTCTGGTCGGGCGGCGAGCTACCCTTACTCGCCGTCCGCAGACCCGCGCACGGGAGAGAATGCTGATGTGACGCAAAGTATAAAACAGGAAGGTACCTCCATCATGAGCAGCTTGCTGGGGTATGCGAGGTCGCCATGCGCGGGGCGGTACAGCAGGACGTCGGCCCGCAGGTGTACGTGGGCGCGGAACACGAGGCGCTCCTGCGCGTCCTGCAGCAGGGACCGCGCACACGCGCCCAGCGCCGACAGCCGCGCTGCCGGGCCACGTTTATACTTAGATATTATTTAAACTCTTGTATATGACAAACAATAGAAAACCGGCTACCGGAGGCCCAATCCTTCCCCTTCCCCAATCCCTAAATCTTCCAATCCCTAAAAGGTCGGCAACGCACTCGTAAACTCCTCCGTTGCGGGTGTCCATGAGCGGCGCTGATTGCTTACCATCAGGTAATCCGCCTGCTCGTTTACCGACTTACTACATAAAAAAAATCCATTGTATCGCGTGGACCCGCGCTCCACGCGATACCACGGGTTAATGGGGGAAGATCGTCAAATGCCTTCTTCAAACTTGGGTGCAATTAAAGATAAGTACTTATTTGTGTGGAGCCTAAAATATCTGTCGTGTCTATGCAAACAATTGCTTGAATTCTCGAGAGATCGTAAAAATGTTGCAAAATATTCAGGCTTCTGCATAAAAGTATCTGGTTTTATCAAAGTCACCGTTCAGAAAAGCAGTAGTAACATTAATAATAAACACCTTAAAAACCCTTTACAGAAAACGACCACATGTAGGTACTCACGATCATTATTAACTTGTTCCTCAATAACCTCCACCCGCAGTATGACACACAGCTCGGCGAGAGTTTCCAAATGGTTTATATGGATTATTTGAGGACGCAGCGACTCGTACAGACCCGTACACAGCGACTGGAGGTACTCTCTGAAATTATTAAAATATATCTTTAGAAAATATTTTGGACATTTCTTACACCAAACTATGATAACACCTTTAGTGGAAATCTATACTAACATTATAAAGAGGTAAAATTTGTAAGTTTGTACGTATGGGGTAATCTTTGGAACCGCTGCCTGGTCGGATTTCCAAAATTCTTTCACTGATAGATAAACCGCGCGAGAGAAGCTAGTTTAATCAAAAAAATAAGACGTTTAGGTCTCTTTCAAAAAAAGGTCAGTGGTCTGCGAGCAAGGGTAGCTCACCGCTCTCGATCAGAACCAAAACTTGAAAGAGCCATCAGATCCAACCCACTACAAAATTAAATAGGGCCCAATAGGGCTAATGACTAGCCGGGGTTGCAGGTGCAAGCGAACGAAGTGGTTTTTTGTCAGGAAAAGTCGGACAATCCCTCTCGCGTCGTATAGTGCAGCGAAGTTATTGGGTTCTGCCCACTAACTAAAGGACCTGTTTCACCACCTTCATATACCTTAGTGTACAAAAACCTTATGTGGCAGACAGCTCATAAAAATTACACTATTTAATAGATTTGGTAATTTTTTTTTCGGCAAACGATGCAACCTTTCCTACACCTAAGAGTTACAAGTGCGTTTGCGGGTATTGCCCCTTTTGGGAGTTTTACGCCGATCTTCTACGAAGTTTCACTGTGAGCCATCCCGTCCATGCCAAAGCACGACACATTGCGAAACAGTTAACAAGCACTTACTCTAAAGCAGGCGATAGATTGGTGAAGAAATGATAGTAGAGCGCACATTCATCTCTACAGGCGTGAGCTAGTAGGGAGCAGGCAGCGCGCAGTTGTGAGCAGTGGTCGGGGGGCGGCGCCCCCGGGCCTGCGCCCGCGCCCCCGGCCAGCGCGCCCCCTGTAGCCGCGCCCGCCACGCGCCAACGACGCGCTGCATATTCGCGTTGTATGTCTGACAGTAGGGACGCATAGCTGAAATATAGAAACAAAATGTTATGGTAATATTTAAAGGTACTTATTTAGGTATTTGCTAAATTCAAATATGTAGGTGTAGAACCCAATTTGTCAATGCAATTTCCAAAATTCAGACACAGTACTTACCGGTGGGTATATAACAAATGTTTTTATAATAACTATCGTGAGACATACTAAATTAACTAAAATTCGCGGGTTACTCACGTGTAAATGTTGAATGTTGAATTTTTAGTTAATATAACAAATGGTTAAATATGTTTTATTGCAAGGATGTAATGCTAAACATATATAGTAAAATTGTTAAAAAAAACTCTGTTACTTCAGTAAAATACACCCACAATTCTTACTTACTCAGCATTTTTCTCAGCTCTCGCTTCAATTTCACTAATAACCATCTTCAACTTGGGGGCAGCGGCTTGGAACTTTCCGAAATACACAGCGTACGCGGTGTCCACGTTATCCTGGTCATTCTGGTCCTCGTCTTTGGGAGCTAACATCTGTTCCGTGGCGTGGTTCAGTACATGCGTCACGTAGGACCGTATGAGAGATATCGCACGGTTTTGTAAGTGGCGGTACTTTACTAAATAGGTATGGGATTCCTTGTAGTTGCTCTGAAACAGTGAAGATTTAGTTTGAATTATTAGGAATAAATTTGTAAGTATTTATTTATTTATTTATAATAAGCACACCAACAGCACAGTCACCCTTAAATTTAACTAGCATAACATTAACAAAATTATGGCATTTCAGTAAGTAACCATGCAAATAACAGGTATGCATAACATTTACACAGGAAAATCAGAGACTAATAAATACGTGAAAAATAACAATAACAATATAGAATGTGCCTAGTACACTTAAATCTACAACACTACAAAAACAAACAATTTGAGCTAATTAGATGTGGACTCTTCACAATGTTTAAGTAGAGAGCGTCTGTATGAAGCAAAACTCATGGAAAAAATGTCAATAGGGAAATCAGCTACATAGGCCCTTTCATTATATTGCCTTGCCATACGAGTCAGAGGGCTGTTAAATAAATGTAGTATTTAATGTGGATTTAGGCAATTCGAAAATACGATGATGACGTTTATTGCGCTGGCTGCACCTAAAGTTAAAGTAGTTTACCAAATGAGCATCTATGGAACCGTTTATAATTTTGTGTAGCAATAGTAGGTCAGAATAGTTTCGTCTTTCTTTTAAACTAATCATTTTAAAGTGACTTAACCTATCATTAGAACAGGGATAGCTTTACGAATTCCATTCTTCATACATAAATACCTAACAAAACATATATGAATATTGTATTGTTTATGTGATGGTAGGTCCAGGAACTTCAACTGCCAGTACCAAATAATACTTATACTGGTCTTAACAATCTTGTAGTCAGCTTTATCTCGTGCAAAGCATTTAAACTTAAAGTGTTTCTATAAAGATTTTTTTTATTAGTGTAGAGTAATAGTCAGCTGTCATACACAGCTAAAAGAATTGAATTATAATATGACTTCTCACTGTTTTTGATAGAGAATTGATGTATAATATGAATTCATACTGTTCCTGGTCATTATGTCATTTGATCCAGTAAAACGAGTTTTTATTTTATAGCATAAAAAACCACAGTTATTTTGTAACATAAACATTAAAATGTGGGTGAGGCATGAATATGAATGGGCAGGGTTATCCAAGGCAATAACCACGGCCACACTGAGAACCGGCGTCAAACGCTAGCATTCTGTAGTTTTTCGCTATATGTGGCTCAAACCAGAAACACAATCCTAAAAGGATTCAGGACAGACCTTTTAGGATTGTGTAAAATATTACAACAACTCTGATGGTGCAGTTTTTCAGGTGTGGCAGCAATTGCTTATCAAAGCTGACTGGGTGTTCTAAAATTAAATAACTCAATCAACTCACATTTGCCCTCATATACTCCAAGCACTCATCGATCTTGGCAAGCACATTGAAGAAAGTCTCGCTGTTCACGGACATAGTTGGACTGTTCAACCGCTGGGACAGGTGTTCCACCTGTGTGAAGTAGTGGAGCTTCTGTTTGATGTCATCACCTGGAAGCACCGGTTTTATTGATTAAACATTTTGCCGAAGATAGTATGGTAATCATAATTTTGACAATAGATGAATTTTGTTTTAATGACTTTAAAGTATGCAGATTATTTTAGGTGTGATTTATTTAGGGTCGGTGCGAGACACTTCCAGACTTCCAACACGATGCAGAAAAGTGGCATAATGCAACATATGGATTATGTTTAGCACAGCTTCCCAATTAAAAAAACCCCTTACCCATGAAGGGACAGCAACAAATTTGAAATATATCTTTTGCTACAGATGTCCATAGGAGGTACCAATTGCTTACTGTCAGTTCATTCCACCAAAAAAATGGTTTTTCTAAGATAGATTTCTAAGATAGATTTTCCCAGATTTAGTTTAACCACAAATAGTACAAACTATTTCTTAAAGTAGATTATATCTTCTGAAACTTAACTTAAAAAATCATATTACCTATACTGGAGAGTTTGTTTTGATCAGCCAACAGCTGCTCACTCATTGTGTGCAGAGCATTCGTTTTATTTGACACAAAATTGTATTGTTCCGACAATTTGTCCAAGTCAGACATTGTAGCACCAATCTGGAAAGTAATACACGGAATTTTTTACCATTTGTAATGATTGTTGAAAATAGAATTTAAATAGAACATGGTTCTTTTCATAAAAGCTTTAAAATTGCATCTTTATAGAAAAAGCTAATTGTGTGCCTGTGTAATTTTTTTTTGTTTGTTTATTAGATTTAAAATGGATTGGACCTTATTACCTGATTGGTCAGTGCAACACACTCATTTCTTCTATCATCCAACTGCTTATGGTAAGCCTCGTAGGGCGCATCATCAGTCCTTAGATTGCTATCACATAGACTCTCATACCACTCAAGAAAGTCATAAGTTGTGTCCACAGTAGGAATGTTATTCTTATCCAACTCTTCATTATCATTATTGTCCTTTGCTTCCTAGAAATTAAGATACGTTGAAGAAAAAGTAAATTTCAAATTTATAGCTATAGTCGTCTCGATCGTATTGTTTTTTCAGGTTTAAAAGCAGTCAAAGGTGACGATAGTCCTAGTGGAAATTCAAGACAGTCTTTAAAACCATAATTTTAATTTTATTTTACAATAAACAGTGATTTATTCACTCAATTAATTCAGATGTTATTTAAACTCAGAAGACCTTTAAAATATATTATAAGTCCAAGAAGTATTAATTAACAGTAAAAGTACAAACATTGTCTAAGTCACTAGATACACCGAGTAAAAGTGACTCTAAATCCAAAATAGCTTCTCTCTGCTCCGATGTTAGAGGTGCCAGAGGATTTTCTGCAGCCTCCCACAGTAAGAGTTTGCTTTGAATCTCTTTTAAACTCATATTATCCATAATTTCCGTTTGTTATTATTTATTTCCAACTTGCAGCTTGCCTGACATTACACTGACAGGACAGCTAGTGACACGACCAAAAAGTGCGTTCCACGTATGAAAAAGACATGAAAATGTATTATTGCTTATTCATTACACGACTTCGTTGAGAACAGAGCAAGTATGAATTCCAATGCTAAGAATTCCTTATTGAACACATTGGCAAATATTGGCATTTGTTCAAAAATTCACGTATACATGCTAAATATATTAAAATTATTTTGGAATTGGTTTATGGTAAGACTTTTAGGACGATTGCTTTTAATGCCATCTAGTGTCGAGTAGCTTGTAAGTTAAACTGTAAAAATAAATCTATGCAAATATAATGAAAACCTATTGGTTAGGTAAAACTTATTAGGGTATTCGTTTTACTGTAACATAAATGCAAATAAAATATTCATTTACACACGACAAACGTCTTTCTTCTTTTATAAAATAAAAGAAGAAAGACGTTTGTCGTGTTGTTATAATAATCTTTTAATGTAAATGAATAATAGAAAAAGTAGCTTTAGATATTTGAATAGCCAATTGTCAGTTGCCAGCTGAAAATTATAACCAAGAAGTAATTAACCAATTACATAATAAAATGTATTTGCTAAAACGAAAATATATCAAACCGTGATGCCTTATAGCAATGGCATCTATACTATGAGAAGCAACAACCACTAAGCAAAGTTAAATTTGGCTTCGAAAATAGTTTTGGTTGTAAACAAAAGATGGCGTTGATTTCAACGGCAATGTTTTGACGTGAAACACTAACGCCATCTTTCTTAACTGAATATGTTTGAAATACATTCCATAGAACCCTCAATAGATGGCGTTAGTCGAATATTCTAACAGAATTCCAGATGTAAACATCGGATCACCTGATCGTTTGGGAGAGTCGGGAAGCGGATGTGAAAATTGTAGATAGCGGCATGTAACTTTGTAAACAATGCTTTCTACAAACTTTGAACCGGTACAGCCGGTAACAATTTAATTTAATAATCTTTAGTATTTCCCCCATCTTTCGTTATTTTTTGTGGAACAATTTTTATCAGCTTCCAAGTATTTTTATCTGACCGAAATAGGCAACTATTTTTAACGCTAATTTTAATATAATAATATGTAAAGCAGGTATATTTTTTGCTTAGTAATAATAGTAAATTGTATTTGAATGACAATTATTGTTGTTTCGCGCCATGCTTAGTTTTCGACAGTATTGGTAGTCATGATGTTTTCAGTACCTATTTGAAAACTTGTATTTCAGAGCTTTCGAAAACTCTCTATTGATTGTATTTTTTACAGGTAGTGTAGGGTAAAGGGTAATGAATAAATAATACAGTGTTTGAGTAGTTTTGCATTTATTGGGTATGAGGAACCTTTCTGGTCAACATAAGCTACAATGGACTTTTGTTTACAGTATATTTACAAATTTCAGTATATAATATAGTTCATATTACCATTATCTAGTTCTAGAGTAATGCTTCTAGGAGTAAATTACTGTATATTCACAATAATTATGAAGACCCTAACAAAATCGTCTATACACATACATAAATGTAGTAGCGTTGTACAAAATACTACTCTATAGGTAAAATTGTCACACTTCAGTCGCTGGGACACACCTTCCTAACTTTGGCTTTTAAACAAACATAGAGCCTGACTTTCCGTCACATCCCACTAGTTACAGTCCATACAATCAGTCACCAGCCACTTTGTTCGCTTGTTTAATGTTAAACAATCAAGCTATTTAAATACAGCGAATATTTTAAATTATAATGTTTAGATATACTTCTCGCAATAACATCTGATCCAACCTTTGAAGGCAGACTACGGAATCGGTTCCTTAATCACATTCTTTCGTTATATACATCGTTCCGACTCACAATTCTATTACAACTTGTACTATATACAAACAATTTTTAATTATTAAAAAAATACAATGTTAAATTACTATATACCTCCATTATCATAGGGTTGGAATAAAAATAGTATATTTTTTCAGTTTCAGCGTGCAAAATTCTCTAAAGCCAGCATCGCACGAGGTCACATTCTCGCAACGATTCTAATTGTAAACGACTGCTCCGTATAAAGTTACACATAACGACTGTGGATAACATACATTCAAACTTCTATATTATTTTATCGTTAACATGTAATTAACAGTACCAACTAAATGAAAACTGCACACAACTCATTCAGTACATATTGCTAACGACAGATCATTGTTATCGGCCCATCAGGAACACTTGCAATTTAATGCATCGTAGTTATACATACAGAGAAACCTGATAAATAACTTAATATTACATTAAAAAAATAGATAGATAATAAATTAACACACAGTCATTGTTCAATGCATAGGAATATTCAACTATTTCATTACATTTATAATATTAACACACGTCTTATAAGTTATCTTAAATGGAATACATTACGTGGATAGCGATACCTAACGTTAAACCAAATAAAAATATACACGACGTACATCAAAACACTAAAGACTCGTTGCTGAGATGCGTAGCAAAAGCATGGCAGTTAGCACGAAATTCTGCACCCTAAATATTAATAACAGAAAATATATATCTATGTATCCGAAGCATAATCTGGTGGTGCAGTGCGCGGGAGCCGCCCCGGGCGCTGCGGGCGGCAGCCGGGGCGGCGGCCGCTCTTAACTAGACACTTGTGTGATTTATACGAGACGCGCCGGCGCAGTGCGTGCGCGCAGCGTCCCTCGGCGCTCGACCGGTGTACTTACACTCGTTCCTTGTTAACCTACGAATTAACATAGCACAGCCTTAGTGACTCCGTGGGAGGGGTGCCGCGGGCGGGGTCGCGCGCCGAGGGCGAGGCCGGGGACCTCAATGGCCGGCGGAGGCCGGCGGGCGTGTTCAGCAGCGCCACGCCGCCGCCCTACGACACAGGCGGCTGGGGGCCCTGCGGGGCCGCTGGCGGCTTCGTGCCAGCCGCAGCTGGCAGCTGCGCCAGGGTGTCCTGGCTCGCATGAGCACGCAGGTATGTGTTCTCCACTTCGAGCTGGTTGATCCTCTCCATTAGTTCAGCGATGCGCTCTTTTAATACTTCCACTTCCTCGCGCACCGCGAACATCAAGTGGCTCTTAACCAGATCCTGAAACAACATCAAATATTTACATTAGTTTAATCAACAATATCGCTATGTTTCTACTAAAATAAATTAACATACAAAAATAAATGTTGATTTAAAACAAATATATAAAAAGAAATATTGACATGGGCTGTGATGGTGATATAAACCGATAATAAAACACGATTGGATCGTTATCACAAAAATGGAATGCGTTACAAAAACCTACATCGGTTTAATAAAATTTTCCGTGTGAGAAATAAAACGTACTTTTGGATTTGGCACGACCACGTAACAGGTATCTTTTTGTCCTTTCTGTCTGATTTCGTACAGGCAGCCATCTCTAGGTTTTTGCACAACGTCAATCATGTTTAAACTGACTGATAAACTTTTCAGGGTCACTGTGTATATGAGCGTCTTCGGCGACGACTGAAACTCGACTGGCGATAACGTGGAACTCGCGAACGAATGCGACGAAGTTGTTCTCTCGCGTCCTACCAGGCGACTGATGGTCTGCGCGCGCGCTCGCCCTATTTAAAATGGCGGTGAACACGTCACTGCGCCACGCGAGCCGACCGTGCACCCTGAACTCACCGACACAACCTATATCGATATCAACATAGCCCTTAATTTCTAGATCTTTTGATTTATTTAAATAAATCGTTTGAAATGACCAAGATAATTAAAAATGTGCTTTTAAGAACTTGGAGTCGTTAAGAAATTATCGTTGTAATAGAGTCGAGTACATTAATAACACGAATGAAATTGAGTTAACTACATTTTAAATTGAAGTTAAATATATTCCACGACAGCCTATCATGAACTTACAATTAGTATAGATATCAACATCAAATAAATAAATATTACATTGATAATGACATCGCTAAATACGAAATAAAAATGAGATATAAGATGGAGTAAATATGGTCCATCGGATTTACCTATGAAATATAAGCTATACGTTACATATGTTACTAAATAAAGATGTAGCAGCACATGTTTACGCTCCTCGTGAACAAGTGTTTACTCCAAGCCAATTATGCTTCATTGGAAAATTTTCGCCCTTAACAAGGGCCTTCACGGTGCGCGACAAAAATAAAAACATTAAACTGTGCTGGAATGTAACTAATTATTCAAGTGGCACTGCTCTAATACAATGTTGCATAGTACTATAAAGAAACGAAAATACCTAACAACACTTCTTCTATAGATTTAATAATGATGTTGAGGTGCTTTTTAATGACAAGAGAAGTCGACATGATAGTTAAAGAATTAATTACGTCAGGCTGACATTTTTATGGTAATAGTTTGCAATGAGCCTAAAAGAATGCGGATAATTAATATAATAGATTAGTATAGGAATTTATTTCTACATCTTAGAGTAACTTGCAATTGTAATCAACATAGTTGCAATAAAATATGTAACGTTAACAATGTCATAAATAATTCGATGAGAACGTTAGAACGTCGCGCGTCGTCGTGGTATTTTTTCGCTCAACAATTTATAATTTTACTGAACAGACATTATTTTCATGTAGACGCCTACAATTGCTACGCAGTGGGTATGCGACAGACGGGCGAAAACAATTTTAAGAGCAAACTTCGAGTCATCCTGAAGATCGGTGAGTCAAGGTATGCACTTAGGCTCGTTGACTGGCTAAATGTGGTGAGGAGGAGTGCTTTGAGAAAATTTCGGCAGAGATATAATTAGAACAGCATATAAATAGACGCTTTGATGAGTCTTATTAAGTGCGGTTGCTCTTACGTGGGTGTTGCGACCTTCAATTAGAAGAATCTGCGCTTAAATTACACCGGTCTGCGCCGGATCTCGTTAGACAAAATTGAGGTTCGCGTCTCTAACAGATTGATGGGGCGCCAATGTACTCAGCACAACAATATATTGGCGTTCAATTGAGAACAAGTTCAAGAGAAACTGGATAATTTCGCGTGCAAATGAATACAAATGAAAAACAGTAATTAGACGCAGTTTACTATCATTAGCATTAGCACCTTATTTGCGATGTAAAACAGCACTTATCATTGTTTGCCTACATTTTCATGTCAGTAGGTGAATAAGATAAAGAGAACGCGCAAACCATGTAAACGGGACCAATTTAGTTGACGTTTTATGAAAAATTATAGCTGAAATAATGATTCAAAAGAAAGTAATGCAAGTTCATGAAACGACGGAGAGTGCAGTGAACTTTTTGCCGAGCTGCGCACCAAATACAGAGGCCGATGATATAACCAGTCCAAGGGCATACGTTAAAACCTGTCGCATTGTCTTTAATTATAACCGGGCGCGACAGCAAACAGGAGAACGGATAGTTAGACACCTGGTACCATCCATTCTGATGATATCTTGACTTGACTAATTTAATCTTTATCACGCACTGAATACTTATCGTTAACCATTAGTATAGTATCATTCATAATTTACGCGTTGAATTCAGTTCTATTTTTTATTTTTGGACTTCATTGATAACTTTTACATGCGTCCATTGTCGTCAATTCGATAGACGTATCAGAAGTTAAAAAAGGTAATCCAAGATTAAGACAGTTATCAACCATCGATATTTTTAAGCATCAGGTTATCAGTTGCATTGAACGCTAACCTACCATTTTTGTATCGAACATCATAACAACGGATTATTTATTTTTTTGGACAATAAAAGACGGATAAACAGCAAATGAAAAAACAAACTGGTTTGAAGTTCAATATGGCGTGTAAACAATTTTAGCAGACGAGTTTTAATTTAATTGTATTGGTGACATCATCACTATTATAAAACACTCTGGGCTCACATGTGAAGTAACAAAACAACAGTGATAAACGAAGCTTCCATAGTAATGATACTAGCAAAAGATATGGGTGTGTTTACAATACATATTGTACTAGCATGGCACGGACTATTTTCGGACTTTACAAGAGCGTTTGAGTGGGTGCATCACAAAGTAGATGTTTACTAAATAAAGTATGTGGTGGACGGTGCATACAATAATTGTTAATCTACACATGTATTAACAGAAGTAAAACACAAATTAACTTTTCCTATTGTTACAATAGATGCCAACATTGTATGGTACCGCGACCATAACTGTGGTTCTGTTGTTGAATTGTGTATCAATAATGTTTACGAGACAGCTTAAAATGAATAGCTATCACTATTCACTATCACAGTATATTAAGTTGACATAAGGTGTAAACGTTAATGTTAGGAGAGTAAACAAAGATAGCACACTTTACAATAGCAATTCAATAAATATGATAAGTTCCACATCAGAGTGAATTGAGTGTGTTGCAGAGCCTTACAAATGGCAAACGCCAGTTTATTAGTGGGTATATTTTTGTGCTCATAAATATTTGCTTAGGTACTGAGTAATCCATCAATATGCATTAGGTTGTCAAACGTGTTATTGATCTTTGAAAGAGCATTCGCAGAAGTGGTCATACAGGTACAATTTTCCTCAGATGGCTAAAATACCTCTATCGGTTTTCACTTCAGCTATCATACATGCATATGAATGCAAGGGCTTTCCTAAACATTACGGATGCGCCACCTACATTTTGTTGGCAGTAATCTTTGGCACAAATCTCTAGGAGATTTAATCAGTCAACGTTCACGCACATAAAGCACATCAAAGGAAATAAAGATTTCTTTTCTTTTTAAATAGGTATCACGTCATTTGCAAACACATGAAGGTAATTTTAACGGGGAATACACAAATAATTGTAATGAAATACCTAATAATATTATGTGTAATAATACCAATAATTCTAACAAAAACAACGGTTGTTTCTGTCTTAAACTAAATTTAGCAAATTCCAAATAATAATAATGTAAAACAGAAATTACGTTTTATTTCAACGCAGTTATGTCAAAAACACGTGTTCAAATATACTGACTGGTTGCGAATATGTTATTGTTGTCATCTTAAAACCTTGTGTTGTGTTGGGATCTGTTTGCACAATTGGGAACAATAGTCTATTAATATTCATGACACAATTCTAATAAATATTATTATATGGATGTGTTATTTTTATTGTTATTACTTATTACTGATAGTTGTTACAGTACTGTTATGATAGTGCGCTTCTAGTACCTACTGGATATTTTTGTCTTTGACTTTAATTACCCGACTGCCAAAGAAGGAGGGTAATGTTTTTCGAGTGTATGTAAGTATGTATGTATGTCTTTTCCTTTGTGACTTCCTGTAGCCTAAACGGCTTGATGGATTTTGATGTATGAGGTATCGTTAGATTTGTCTTGATTACGGGAGTGTCATAGGATACATTTTATCCTAAAAGTCCCACGGGATAAAGACATAATAATATTTTTTCTAAATTTCCCTTTAAAAAAATATGTATGCGGTATCATTAGATGTAATCTAAAGCCAAATGTCGTCGAAATAATTTAAAATGGTACTTACATATACATAGTCTTCTACATCTACAACATTTTCGTTAAATAAAAACAGCTAAAAAGTTATAAATAAAAAAATTATTATTAAAAAAACAAAATACCCGACTGCACACTAAAAAAAGAGTAAAACAAGCCCCACAATACAAATTTACTGAATATAATTTATAAATGTTGATGGAAAGCATCGCAGGCGGGGACCACCTTGACCGCCACCAACGAAAATTCTGCTAAATGGTGCACAACAGAAATGACTATAAATAAGCCTCTGTTGGTCCCCGCCTGCGATGCTTTCCATCAACATTTATAAATTATATTCAGTAAATTTGTATTGTGGGGCTTGTTTTACTCTTTTTTTAGTGTGCAGTCGGGTATTTTGTTTTTTTAATAATAATTTTTTTTTGTTATTTGTTAGTATGGAGTGTGATTAGATTGGATACTTCTCTATTTGATTCTTGTTACAGAACTTTTGCAAATCGAACAAGTTAAAGGTCAGGTCTACTCTCCACCCATCGGGCAATCCTTGACCTGGCCTGTACATGCCAGACGTTTTTATCGATTTCCTCATGGAATTAATAAACTTATAAAATAATAAAATAAATAAAATAATGTAAACATGTATTGACGTAGCTTTACGTTATCGTAAAGATAACTTAAAACAAACAAGTGAAAATTGTTCAGTAGCGGTCAAGCACATTGTAATCAAGACTGGTCGTTTGACCTCAGAGGTGATGTCATTGCAGTACTCATCCCATCGCTTAATACAACAAAATAAACATCATAATTATTTATAAAGAGTGGCAACAAATACAGATGAATAACACATTGAACCGGAAAATGTAAGGGAAATAATGATAGCACAACCTGTTTTGAGGTATAAGACTTCTAGAAAAATAAAGAAAAGTAAAGTACTTGTAATCTTATCGCTGAGAAACAACTTAGCAAATGCATAATGCGTCAATCGAAAGAAGTTAAATGTTTACTTTCAGACATAAAAATATTCTATCAAATCCATAAACAAACAAATAGCAGATGTCTAAGAAGTGTGGGGGTCATTTTTAGCGAAAACATGTTTACCATAATGTCTGTAATCAGTTAAGCGTTTATCTACTAACCTATGAACGATTGCCGTAATCTATAGATTTACTATAACTCTGGTAGATTTCCGAAGATTTTTCATTATTTAGATAGATAAAATTTTAGCATTGAAAAATATGATTAATATCAAAAATAAATAACAGATAAGCTCAATACAGATACGTGTGGACAAGGTTAAGTCAGTATTACGTTTTACGTTTCACGAAACAGTGATCGCACGATTGTTATGTTAGGATGTTTTTCTCAAGAAAAGTATTTAGATTTTATTGGTTATTGTTTGAACAGTTTCGAAAATTGATTTTTAGAAATAAAATTTATGTGAGCCTTGAATATTTTTATCGTATTACAAGCTATACCTGAATGGCTGACACAAAATAAATACTTTCCCTTCACCCAGTACAAAAATAAAATCAGCCAAACAAAATCATACTTTAAAGGTGCCATCGGAAAGCGTACATCAGCATGAAAGATATCAGACCGATCACACCGTTACAGACGCGACAACGGCTTCATTACAAGGAGCAGGTTTGTTTTCCAAGAAAACTTTTCTAGCATTTCCTGGGTTCGTGATGCGATTCTGATCTGGCGCGTGCTCTCTCGAAGCCGCTCTTAGTTGCAAATTACTCGACGCTTGTTCACGTTATTGGCGGCACGCGACCGAATCGTGTGACCTCCTGACGTCTCCGGGTCTTTATCCAGTTGGTGGGCGTACACGAATCGGCCGCATAATCAAGAGAGCACGTGTCTCCACTCCAGCACTGCGCCGGTGCCGGCTTTCCTTCCGTGTCTATTCTCGGCCGGCCGAGTCCCGTCGGGTCACGTTTAGCTCATGCAAATCACGTATACAATGAGAAAATTAGCATAAGATGGAGCTGGAGCAAATAAAAATATCAACACGCACTTCCAAACAAATAAACACCGTTTTCATAATACTTGCTAATGACATCTTGGAAACACGACAAAAACTAACGGAGTGTTGCGATGGTACATCACGCGGTTCAGTAAGAGCTCGCGTCACTCATCAGAGAGAAAATTCAGAGAGAAGAATAAATGTGAACGCTTGACCAGAATCAAAGAAATTTATGTTTGAATAGATGTGAGAAACCGGGTCAGTGGTGTAAGCTATGGCTGCTACACATCAATAAGACGGTACGCATAAACACATTCAACCGGGTGACGTAACGTTAGGCGTAGATATTACGAAAACCGGCAAGAACCCAGAGTACAACTGAATCCAAAATATATACAATATTCTGCAGGTACATTCATCGAGCGCCATGTAAGATGGCGTTCTTCAAGGTGGACCGGTTTAAATACTGGTCGTGCTACGTTTGCTTGATGCTGAGATGTTAATATACTACTTATTTACATTAAGATTCATGCAAAATACATAAATATGTTTGCAACGTTGCGAATTCAATTACTGTTATTCTGTTATATAGATTTTACGACTAATTTAATCAGACCGATTATGAAAAGACAAGATTATAACATTACTATGAACGAGTTGTATACGTCGAATCCGGAGGTGTATTGCCACAGTTGTTATGAAATTATTTTGTATGGAAAGATACTCCGAGGTGATAAAAATATTATTACGTATATACATGTATATCCAACAAACTAGGTGCATCGACAACAATTTGATAATTTTACGTCATAAATTATTGGTAATTATGTCATATTTAATATGGAATTAATACGATAAAACGTTTGAATTATACTAAAAATAATAGGATGATCGAATTGTATTTATATTTAAATAAAATCAGTTTGAAGTTCCAACTGATTGTTGTAGTTCACAACAGATTGGTACAAGATAACGACATATATGGAGCTAGGAGAACTGCACGAGCGTGTTGTGGGAGTGATAAAAATACTATGATGCGATGGTAGTGAGCATTAGGGCTGGATTGGGGTCAATCGCTTGAGGCCATCTGCGTCGGCTAATTATAGACGATGTGAGACGCGTCCAATAGTGCACGACGATGAATCTCAATTGCGATAGCAGATGTACTTGATGGAAGAAGTGAAATCTGTTGCAAATGTTGCGCCCACCCGGGTTACGTTATAGAAGTGGAGGATGTTACCCTGCTAAATTATTAAGACAAACAGAACAGCCAAATTCAAATTCGACGTTAGTAGTAAACAGTGTTAGTAGACACAAATGTCGAGACGTTTGATAATTATGTAAGTTGTTCAAAATGTAGAACGTTTTATATTTGGCCGGCAGAAAAGGTTCCATTATTACTTGGCATTAAAAACAGGATTTCTTGTGAATGCAATCATGTGCAAATGGAATATGCTACTTATATCCGTGGACGTGGACGTGCCAAGTATGAACTATTTTACTAATAAATTCTCAAATGCAACACACATACATCACAGATGTAAATAAAGTAAATAATGGTCTCATGGTATTTTATGCTACGGGGCAGAACGGGACGCGTTTCCTGGCCATTAAAAAAGGGAAGTCATTAGTGATTCAAATGGTGACTCCGATCTAATAACGGTGTTATGCAGTTCAACCATTGCTATTATAAACACGGATAAACTCTCAAGAGATTGCATCTTTACGCAACTGCTGCGTGAAACAGAGCCGTAATAGCCACGGTTCAGTGTGTAACACGAAAAATGATAATGTCGAAATTTCCTCAACGACGAACGCGTGTGTCTTTATCGACATTCTGTCGAATGCTGCGTGATATCGGTCGACGCTTCTACTGACCGATATTCCTAGGAAGTTTTTCGTTCAAGGAGACGTCATTTATTAGACTTATAAAATATTAGTTTGAAATCATCAGACCAATGTAGATATCTGTATATTTGCACACTAATCGCATTTAAAGTCGCCAACCTAGATTTAGGAATTAGAATTGGAGTTCATTGACATGCAAGTTATTGGGTGACGGACGATATCAGCGGTATTATGCTGTTATTTTTGTTTGCTACATAAGATAAAATAATAAGAAAGTTATCGCGTACTGGTGGCCGTGGCGCACGCGTGTTCTTTATCAGAATGCGTCGACAGCATAAAAAGGGACGCGGCATCTACAAAGCCGGTTATAAAATGTTCCACGAATTATGTACTAGGATTGAGAGCATGCGGAACCTCGGCGGCCGACTGACACACCACACTATGGATGTCGTGGGCTGCAACATCAGTCCAGTAAAAACTAATGATTGTTAGCCGATGGAATCTTCGCGACAGATAGATTAAATACTCAGAAGGGAATGATAATGGAACGTAGCAAGGATTTAATAGCTTCAACTTGTTGCATTTTCACATTAACCAATTAAACTGGTTGCTTGTAGCAATAATTATCAGCAAGTTGTTAAGCCGATAAGCTTTAAAGAAACGCAGCAGATAAGATACAAAAAAAGGACTAAGAATTGTATCCAGATACAAATACTGAGATATCGCTAGCCGTTCTCAGGTAAGAAGATCAACGCATGGTATTTTAGTTGGTTTTTAGAAACTAACGGATAACAAAAAGTGCACAATTATCAAGCAAAAATGTTTAAGAGATTAGGAAGGACCCAAAAAAGTAATTACTTTTTTAGTTCGTTACAATAGCAACTATTGAACCAGCTATCCGTCTATTACAGAGACAGCGACAGTACGGGACTATAATGTAGCATTTCCTCTATTAAAGTCCATTATGACAATAGCGGTAACATTAAAGGAGGATTTATTTAACCGAGTCACGTGAGCATTGTTGACGACGTGTGCTAGTATGAGTAGTTTTCACGTTACTTCACAGGTGATTGTTGACACACAATGTTGAATGAACGTGGAATTGTTTCCTTTGCGTTTACTTACACCTAATCGTGTGTAGAGAGATGAAGAGAAAGTTGATAATTTTCCGCGAAATATTAGTAGGATTTGACTGTTAAACATTCATTTTAGGCTTTTATTTAATTCAATACTTTTAAAACATCGACCATTATCCATTTTTGTTTCGACCATCGTGTTTTTTTCTTATTGCAAAGGATTTGGTTTAGTTTTTTTAAGTCTTTTATTGTCTAGCATTTGTTTAACTTCCTGTTTTGCTACAATATCATGTCTTAAATAAACTAACATTTAATATAATCAGTAACGCATTATTATATTACACTGAAAAGCATCGTTTAATAAATGACCACTCGTGATCATAAATAGCGTGACAGCATCTCTTTTGAATCGTTTGTAATCATTGAATTGTTTATTGTTTGGGGGAAAACCATGTTGCTGTATGCAATGTGGGTTTTGAACAGGAAAACTTTTTACTTTTATTTTAGACCCTGAATCAACAAAATAATTACTTAATACGTTTTTATGTCACAGAGAGTTTATAAATAAATATTTTTTCTATAAGGTATACTGAAATATACAGGTACAAAATTTATTCTAATAAAACTATTTTTTGAAGACTTAAAGTACCAATAATACTTTGAACAATCCAGGAATCATCTCCTAGGTGTCCCCTAAATTTGCAATATTTGTGTTTGCTAGTGCGGAACAAAGGCCTCTGAGTACTAATTATATTCTTATGATAGATTTAATAATTTCCACATTACGTATACACGGTAAAAGGCTAATCAAATGAAAATCATTTCCTTACGCAAGTAATAAAGTTTATAGAAGGAAACGATTATTAAGGTAAGCGATTTATAAACACAAACGTATGTTCTGTGGTTATTGAACTTATTATGTGCCTTTGTGCCTATATGGCTTCTAAGATAATTCGGTGTAATGAATACCCTATTCTAAATATGAAACTTTTGTATGTAATTGGATTATTGTAATAACTTACCATTGCTTGCTCGATCTTGTTGTCGATGGCCACCGCGCTTGTGCCCGATGCGCTGTAACAAAAAAGAAAGTACAATAAGAAATTGTTTTTTCTACAAATAAAGTTACAATGTACACGCTACATGAGTCATATCGCACGACGCGATTGTTTACAAAACTGAATACCAAACAACTTGGTGACATAGCATTTCCACCACACGTGGTAGTCAAAACAATTTAATAAATTAGCTTGTTATCCATTTATTTTGTAAAACTATTTACTTATTTAGATTCATTAAAATACCAATCAATGTTTTATAGATATAAGTTCCGCAGATGTTTTCGGGATGCGGAAACCCAGAATGCTATATAGGTTTAAATAATTTATTCACGCACGGATTAGCTCCATCCTGGCAAATACAAGAACTTACGCTTATAACACGTCAACATTTCCCATATAATTGTTAATTTCCGAAATAAATCGATTTAAAATTCAAATACTTTGTTTAAGGAAAGATTTATTTTGAATGCAGTTGCAAGAAGGTTTATTGTTTATGTTGACGAGAATATGATATTAATATCGGTGCAAAGAAATAGGAAATTAGTCGTACTATCGAAACGCTTTCACGTTTTAAAACTGTCACAATTGACAATGTGCGTACGTCACAGTACAATAACTGCGGACGTTAACAAGTATTGGTGTTGTTGCAATGGAAAGGTGGCGCAAGGGCGAACGATCGTATTCCAAGATAATGCACATTCAATATGTAATTACCTATTACTGTAATAAATAAGCATGGGCCGGTAATTTTAAGAAAAGCTTCCGTCGGTTGCACCGCGGATGATTACGCTAACATACAACGCTGTGGATAAATATTGCAAAAGCGTTGACCGCCTGTTGAACCGTGCGGTATTTGTAACAACAACAGGGAACAATGGAGGACTAGATTCTGGTGCGGTCTGTAGCCTATTTCCTCGGTCGTGGTTGCAAACCATATATACTTGCAGAAGTGTATAAACAATCACCTAGACATAATTTGAGAGACATTAAAAATTAAGACATGCATCTTCACTCGCCGCATGTGGACACTTGACCTAGAAACCCCTATCGAATCGTTCAGACAGCTGGCCGCCGAGCAAGATTCGAGAAAAATAAGTTAATTTAAAGCGATATAACGTTACAAGTCAGCGAACCATCGTCGAGGTCTAAAACCTCTCTCGTGGGTAACAGTAAATGCGAAGTTGCATTTTGTACATTATTTGTAATTATACCGAATACAGCAAAACAATTGTGCACAAATGCAACGTGTCACGAGCACAGCACGCGGCTGTCGGCCACGTGCAGTGCGAGATGACGACACACTCTACTTAGCAACTGGAGAGATACCATTACTGGCTGCGATTGCCGGACTTACCCATTATGATCCAATCTCGCTGGTGTAATCGTCCAGTAGCTAGTATGTAGCACGACGTACGGCTGCGTACTTGACTTTCTCCGACGGATTCCGTGTCGCGTCAACGAGGTGAACAACACAACGTTAAAGTTGAAACCATTCGACCGTTGAAGACCGCGTCGCGGATCGATTTCGACCGGTTCGCCATCGAGCTCCCCGACATAAAACAACGGCCGTGGACCACATGACCACCACCGCAACAATGGACTGCCGGAACATTAACGTCTGCCGCTTTAACCGTATGCGGTGCAAAGAGGTAATTATGTAAATAGCGGCCGATTCCAAGATAATCTTTGAAAGTCTTAAATCTAAGACGGGTGTTGACACACAATAAAAACTTGCTTTCTCTAGGCGGAACTCTACAATAACAAGTTTTAGTATTCTGTGAGTGATTACGCAACTTTGAAGAGTTGACAAAATTGCAAGCCACCGGTGTAGAGCTGCATGAAAAAGTTGTAACATAAGACAGCGAAACCCAAGAAGCGGAGAAAGTATTAAGTGTAGGTGACGATGACGACATTTCTCAGTCAAGATCAATGCTAAACATGGCGATAATTATAAAATCATCAGAACTTAGATCATTATGTAATTAAGAACTTTGATTCCCACGTTAAACATATTTTTGTTTAATATCTCAAAAGATTGGCTATTTTGACTTTCATTTGTTTAAAAAAAGTGGTCAAGATTATCTCCTTCGGATGGCACTATTCCTTAAGCAGGTAATAGAAGAAAAAAAGCATATTTTGAAACAAACTACATAACAATTTGAAAATATGAATCTAGAATAGTACCAAAAACTTGGTATTTACTCATTATCGCACTCTTATCGCTAATGGAGAAACTGGATACACTGTACTGTACTGGACAAATTAACGCGAGTGTTGAAACAGAACATAAATGAAAATGTGTTTAAAAGATGTTAAGCAAATAGCGAATGCAAACAAAGAGATAAACGTTTTGTCACTACGCACGTGCGTGTTTGCGTAGACTACACTCGACTCCACTGCACTTCAAACAAGTCTCGCGAACAAAGGCAGGAGACTTTTTCAAGACTTTCATGAAAGAACAAAAGGACTTTTAAGATTTTCGTTATAATAAGCAAAAACAATAATGCTTCATTTTTATTTTTTACGATCGCGATGAAAATAACATCTGCCTCGCTTGCTGCTGCTTCGTGTTTAGTGAATTACCAAACTGGTTTAATGGAAATCTTTTGTTAACAAACGCAGATTCGTATTTACGAGTCAGACAAGGCGAACCACGAAGATTGAGCAAGTAAACGTTTAAATGAATTTACATCAGATATCGATGTTCTTTGTGGAAAATGTGCACATGTTCAATTATTCATATCTATTTTCAATACTGCCATATTGGAGTTCTGGATTAGCATCTTGCGAAAACATACTTGATTTATCAAAGATGCAAGAATAGTAGCAACACAATAAAATAGCTAAACAATGAAGAAAAGATGAACCATTAAGAGAACATGTCTATAATCACGTATTCATGAGTTTCAGACGTCAAAGAAAACATGGCAATGATAACAGTATCAAAATTTGTATAAGCCCGATGAATCATGATGCACCAAACAATTGCGCTGTTTAGCCGTACAACAATACCAACTAGAAAACAAAGGTCACTGAAGAAATTATGCTAGTGGCATAAAATTTTAATGTGTTAGTCATGATCACTTAAAGTTCACATTGTTTGTCCACTACCGGTATTCGTCAGATAGCAATCTATTTATTACTTTAAACTGTTGACAATTTGAATCAGCTCCATTGAATTGAATTGCTTGGTTAACATTTGCGTTTTATTAAGTGATCATCACTATTCAAAGAAATTATGCGCACAATTCACACGTACGCTCGTACATTTACAATTATTATAAATTACATTTATAGCAATATGGGATTATCAGCATTATCGGTGTGCAGTGTGGTTGTGTATTGTTATCGTGTAGCGAGGCGAGTGCGCACGCGCAAGGTCATTGAAGGGAAATCGTTGGGTGTCGTGTCGACATGGCTGGCGCCAGCGGCTCTGGCGTTACATCTTGCAGTCGTGTTTCATAACACACTTACAGTTCCTTTCAATTAGCGCAAAGAAATGAGTGGTAGTATAAATTCAATCGAACGAATTGTTAGTTACATGGACGATAGAATATATGATTGAAGCCGATTGTAAGGGAATTTAAACGTTTTGTGAAATACAGTGACATAGTAGAGGCTTATCCCGTAAAATAATACAGCTGAAGTTGAGTTCACGTGTGGCAAAAGAACAATGGCGGGTAGGAGTGAACACTAAAACCAATTGGACACAAAGGGCATTAGTGGGACACTAGAAGCGTAATGTGCTGGTAGTCAGTGTTTGTCACGCGAAACGGTCACGCAACGATGCTTTCCCTAGGATTTCATTAAACACTGTTGATAATATTATGAATGACTTAATTGGGAACAGTACTTTTTTCCCAGCCTAGCACAATAATCTATTCAGTCTTTTATTAAGACATAATTGCCGTAAATTGTATGAAGTATTTTAGTAATAACACGAATAAATGAAATTATGCACTTAACGTGTGGTTGGTTATGGCCGTGAAAAGATATTAGTCATCGGAAGATCCTGGTGGCAACTAAAAATAAAATGTGAATGAGTTTAAACACGAAGGTTCAACGTCTGATGAGCGAGTGTCAGTGGTGCAGGGGCAGGTTCAACGGACAAAATTCAAAAGATGCAAGGTTGAAAATGGCAATAAAGCGGACCTAGACCTTAAGAATAATAATGGTGTTTAGTGCAACGGATCGATACAGTAGTCAAGCGATAGGGACACCTATGTTCAGTAGGCGGCGCTGACGTCAGGCGCAACGGTTTGTCTGACTGCAGCCAGCCACGTTGCCGAGGAACCTTCACCGACTTACCGACTCGGTAATTAGCTGTGCTGTGTGAGAACCTTCACATCACCGTCACTCGGCCGACCAACAGCCAGCGACGGGCCCGCAATGCGTCAGGTTACTCGAACGTTGCAGTAAAACGAAAAATTTAACGGTACTCACACGGGGTAGAAGTAGTCTATGTACTTCACGACGACCTCTCTGAGCAGATCTTGCTTGTTCATGATGGACGTGTAGCTTCCACTTATAAGTTTTGTTTGCATGGTTTCCACTTCTATCGATTTTACTACACGGGACGCTCGAGTCCCCGCCGTCGTGTTCAAAGGAGCCGTTTTTGTTATTTTGTGCGTTGAAAAACGTTGTGCGTGATGAGGTAGCAATGGTAAAAATGTTTGTTACGGCGCGCGGGCAACCGGATCGACGCGTTGCGGCAAACTGGGACCGGGCCGGTCGCGGCTAGGCGGGCGGTGGGGGAGGGGATCGGAGCAAGTGGCGCGCGCACGACTCTACCTACTACGGGCTACGATGGCGCCTCGAAACACCAAGGCAACGCTTTTGCGACACACCCGTTGTACCTCAAAAACGAGAATAAATCTAACAGTTGCCGCACCTCGCATTTAATGCTGAAGCTCATTCAAATTAATCTATCGCGTAGGTTCAAGGCTAACCAGGTTTGGACAGTGCTTTTAGCTGTTCTTTAAGTTATAAATAAAACAAAGAGACTAGACATTAGAGATTTTTTATTATAATATGTTTTGATTTCCATTAATATTGTTACCAATGAGTCCGACTATTATTCTGCAGAAAATACTAGACACGAAAGTGCTGACATGTGAAAAAGCTGCACTTGGAATGAACGCATGAGCTAGTCGGTAAACAAGGCTGTCTCAACAAGGCAGTACACAGAGACGGCTAGACGAGTGTCATCCAACAATTGCTACAGTCATTATAATTGACGCTTCCGCGTATTGTTCTACAGTTCAAGTTTTACGCAATCTCGATAGGCTCATACTAGTTTTTATTCCAGTTCCAAAAAATAGTTTGAATAGTTCGTGTCATTTTCGACTATGTCAATTCCAATTTTTCTCATTGAGTCTTTCTTTTCAGTCTTTCACGTGGCAAAATTACGAGGAACGACTACTGCTTATGATGATATTATTTATTTATGGTCTGCCAACAGTTATGTATGTATAAATAAGTATACAATCAGGTAATAAGTATCACTGCACAACCAATTATAGGCAAACACCGCATGCTTTGGATATTTGCCTTTACAAAGGGAGAATAGATGTAAATAAATCTTAAAACGAAATTACTTAAATAAAAAGAAAATACACCAATTTCCTTACCTAGATAATCGCGAAGTTCTGGCAAGGGTCAAAGAGAAAAAAGTTTTTAGAAAATAGACCATGCCCAAATAGCCATATACCTAACAATGCAAAAAAAAAAGGCTAAAATATAAACCAAAACTGTGTTCCAAAATGTTTTTTCTTTATTTACTCGGTACAAGATAGTGTCATTTGACACCATTTACACAGAAAAGAAATGATTATCAATCACTACACTATACTACACATTGCAATGTGGGAAAGCCATGCTTTGGCACGAATGGGTCGGTTCGAATGGAGTAGCACCACGGCCACACAGAAAACCGGCGTGAAACAACCATAGCGTTGTGTTTCGCCATGTGAGTGAGGTTACCCGGAGGAAATCCTTGCCATCCCCCAATCCCAAAATCTTTAAATCTGGTGTTACAAGTACGTTAGGTGTGCGACGGTGCGCGTGTAAGTCTGGAAAAAAGATTTCAAAAAAAAAAATACTCATCGGCATATTTTGTATCATGAGTTGGAAATAGGAGAAAGTGTATGATGACGACTCATAAGCTTATTGAGCTTTCACAGAACTCATAGCAGTACTACTGTAGGTGGCACAGATCCAGGGTGTACCAATAAGGAATACTTCAGCAGTTACTATTTTAATCCCACGCTAATTAGACTTACCATTATAAGAGGATGCTAACAATAAAGAGGACAAATTGTTATTTAAAAAAATCCAAGGAAATAACACATGCATATTGCTGTGCAAAATTGTTTAGGGGTTAAAACCTCTGAGCAATTTTTTACTGAAAGACATCTTATATAAAAATGGGTTGGTAAGCGCATAACTCAACAACGCCTGGACCAATTTTGCTAATTCTTTTTTTGTTATGTTTGGTATTGTCAGGAGAAGGTTCTTATCAAAGAAAACATTTGAAAAGTAGAGGTGCAGATTAGGAAAATGTGACCCTTTGATAGCGTGATAGTTGGACCCGTGCGAAGTGGGGGCGGGCCGCTAGTTTGACGATAAAATTGATGATGCACTACAATGAGATACCGACAAGTCTTCAAGCCGCGGAATACTAATTTGCATGAACCGAGAACCATAACAACTTAAGTACTTATTACAAGTGGCTTGGCGAGTGTTCAAGGTGGTTGTTGTTATATTCTAACAATAAATTTATCTTCTCAACGTAAATAAATCTAGCAGCCTCAAATTTTGCAAGATTTATTCAACATGACTCACATTGCAAAACTCATAAATTATGAAACAATAATGTGTTATATATTTTCGTAACTTACATATATGTTGTGAAGCTTTCTGTGAGTTATTGAATTCTTTTTTGTGTACTATCTGCATAATGATAGTTGTTGTGTTGTTGGTACATAGATAATATATGTGATATCATTGTTATTAACTGAGAGGAACTTATTATGAATGATAATGACATATGACACGTGCGTGATATTCATTAACCTTGGCTTTTGTATCATTCTATCCTAATTAAGACAAACACATTAATATGCATTGTTGGAATATGCAACAATCGAGGTTTATCACTCTAAACATCAGTACTGTAAACAATATCATTTATGAACGCGTTTGTGTATGCATGACAAAGTATAATTAAATAGCTAAAAGTACACGTTAAAAGTAAGCCGTGACCAAATCATAAGAGAGTAATAAAGGTGCTTTCCAGAAGAAACACAAGAATAACGATGAGTACATAAAATCGTTTTCTTTTTACAGAAGTTTTAAACATATATGTATAAGTGTTTTGTTTCGGAAACAGTACAGAAACATCATCAAATGTGTTAACCGCATGACGATTATGGAAGAGACGCGGATGATCATTGCACTTACGTGACAATTTTGGCGATCAATCAAAAGCCCAATGAAATCTTATAAGACAGAGATAAAAGGAAACATATATATTTTGATTATGTTATCAACTTATCATTTTTAAAATGTGTGTAATAGATAATGAACGTATTGAGTACAATACTAATCAAGATGTGATTGACAGACTGCACAAGACAACGGCGTAACACTAAGCATAGTTTGCTAAGATGGTATCACTTCAGAATGCAAGTTTATAGCCGTGATTTGAATTAATTATGTCACCAGTGTCAGCCGTATTCGAGTACATTTGTACCTGTGATCTTCAGATCAGTATAATTATCTAATTATAATCGCACTAACTCAAACAAGTTATGGACAAAATATTTGTTACATAGGGAGTTTTTGTTTCGTTTGATGCAATTATAAATGAATTAGTATTGTTCTATTCTTGGTTATGTTGTCTAGTTGAGAAGATGACATAGACAAGTCTGGGAGGTATTAATAATATCATACGAATTGAACATCTTTTTCTGTTAACTTTTTTTACAATATATCTCAACATGTTTACATCATCGATGCCGTCAAACAAAAAGAGTTTGTGAGTACGAATACTTAAGTTTTTTTACTGTAATATTGTACTGTCATCGAAGATAAATGCTTTACAGAATTGAGAGTGGTAAAAAATAAATCTATTACGCAGACTTATATTAAAACGATTTATCCGGCAATACAGAGGGATTCGAACAGAATGGTTTGAAAGCATTGTTAGTACTGAGGATCAAGAAAGAAATGCTCTTAAGTGACCAGTTCCTGATTTCGCTCTTCATTGCCTTAACAGGACAGACAAACAAATTGAAATTTCCGGTACGTCCGAATTAAAAGATAGAGCTTCAATCTAGTTTAAGGCACGAATTTTCCCATATACACTTGACTGCGTCTGAGAAATCTGAAAGTCTACCAAGTGTCGGTGATGTTTGCTGATAATATTTTAGATGTTCAGTCTAAACCGTTTACATCAGACATGATAGCGCATCAAGTATGCAATTATACATTTTAATTTAAGTAGATTATTGCAACATAATCAAAATAGGTACTACTTATTAATTTTGAAATCCCGCAAGATTGCAAACCGTTGATACTTATTTGGAAATAATAATTACATTAAGTGCAGTTTCATTAGGGATTGTATCTGTTAGCTGTCAGGTCCAAGGTCGTATCGATTAAAGGTTGTGAGTGACCAGTAAATAAGCGTCGGACCTTCGTTCATCATCCGAAAAAAACCGAATACACCACTATTTTTGGAGCATCTCAAGGTAACGAGAATATAATAAAGCTTATATTAAAGAAATAACTAGAAGATTAAGAGATACGATAGTGTCAATAAGATCAGAAAACATGTGCAAACCATAGAAACAATCACCTAATCTTGAACAATATCAACAAGTGTGATAAGATACAAGCAATCGATATAACATGATAAAAAGACAAAGTATCTTGTAAGAGGATGAATAAACATTATATAACTCGTATGATATGTGCAATATGCATTTAAATAATAGAAAATTAATATTGAAATGATGAAAATTGAATAAAATCTAAATGTATTATTATAATCACTTACGAGCACCATGTGTTTCTACGAGCAAAAGGCGAGCGGGGTAGTTCGTTGGATGTTGATTTTGGCTGTGAGTCTACTGTCAAATTGAGCTTGAAGGCAGCTATAGACTTTCGTCGTTTGGCTGCAAGGGCCCGGGACGCGAGGTCGGTGTCATGCACCTGCTCAGGTGGGGAGGCGGCGTGCGAGCATGTCTTCATGTGCGCCTGCGCTGTGGCCACTTGCAGCAGCTTCGTCGAGAGATTCCGACGGCCTAAAGCCTCGCACGTCGCGCACCGTCCGTCCTCCATGAAGGACCTCGTGCGTCCGACACGGCTACGGCGTGGACACTGAGCGCGTATTGTTTCCAACGGACGTGCTGGCTTAACTGATGTCATCCGATGGACGCACGTAACACGCGCGACCGTTCGCGGTCGCCGCACGAAAAATTCAAGACTTTATGAACGGACGCCGGAATCGATCGATACTCGAATGAAATAGGTTTAATGCGATAATAAGAACGCGATAAGGTATACACGCGAATAAGTGTAATGACCTAGACGGTGTGGCATAGCACGGCTTCGGTGCGGCCTCGGCGGGCGGCCGTGCGCGGGCGGCTCGGCGCATGCGACTGCGGTCACCACTACAAAGCACCCCCGCCGCCGGCCGTAATCCGAACGTTAACGAAGATATTGATGTTTGCGGTGAATAATATCACGATACACGATCATCGTATGATTTACATGCGTCTCACACAGTCATTACAAGGTGTCATTCCGGCATTCCTCTGGACACTGTCCAGAAGAATGATAAGTATTAATAATTGAGGGTCATGGGATACTCCTCCGTACAAAACACGCAGAAGTTCCATAACCGCGTTCTATATTTAAGTCTGACGCGGAAATGTAAACATTTGACAAATTTTAACTCTGCGGGAATGAACGCGTGCCCACACGAAAAACAAATACACAGTACACTCTTAATAATTTATTTGACCCGAAATATCTAGTACGTTTTGGCTCACTTGCGACAAATAATGGAAAAATTATATTACATAGCTTGAACTACTGTAGGTTATCATTAATTCATCTAAATCTTACTGGGTATAAGATAATAATAAAGGGTTGAAGTTCTATTCGAGATAATGACGGGTGGGTGCCTAGCCAAAATAAAACAATGCCAATAGTTGCAGTCAACCGATTTAATCGGCGTATCGATTGGACAAAGTAAATATTTTCAATCACAACAACTTTTGCTTGTACCTAAACGTGGCGCTAAATGCTTGTAAATATTGTACAAGTAATTCACCGCGAGGTGGTTATTTGATTTGTCCTATAGTCGTAACATCTGAGCACTGCCGTTAACGTTTTGTTAATCTTGATTTTTTAAAAGCGAAATTTATTATTTTATGCTGTTCTGACCAATCTGCTAGTTGAAACTGAGATGTTTTACATATAAAATACAAAAAAAATTTCGCCCATTCATGTTGGACAGTGTATTAAACTGATTGGCATACAACCTTCGAGACAAATCGATAGTGTTATGTTTCCATGAAAATAAAATAACCTCGTTTATGGTTTGTTAGTGTTAGTATTGGACAGGCAGTCACGCCATGTGTGAATTTTTAACAAACTTTATGCATTTCGCAGTATTTCATGATGATGCTACTTTATGAGTTTTGTTTTCAATATTGATTCTCGATCTATTCAAAATTCGAAAATTAATTTTCCTAATTTGTCTGTTTAATCTTAAGGAAAAGTATTTCTACGTGTATTAATAATGTTGAATTTTGCCAAGACGTCAGAGGGCGTGTCACATGTGCCAAGTGTTCGACACATTTTGACATGCATCTCTGAACAGAATTAAATATTGGCTGTCGCACTTTACTGACACGCGTATCGTTTTAGATTCAGACAAATTGTCTATTGGAGAATGTAAACAAGTCATTATGTTATTAAAAGTAGATAATATTGGAAGTGATTGATGTAACGTTGATCTAATCGGTGTTGGCTAGTTTATACCAGATTTATCTTAGACATTTTTTCTTCTTCCTAATACATTTTTTCTATGGCTAGATTGAGAATCACAATATAAAAAAAAATAGATTATCACCGAAAGATATATTATGTGCAAAGAAAAAGAATTATAAAAATTTTTGCAGCTTTAGGAGATATGAAAATCTATTGATATTACTGATACTAGTCTCAATGGAACGATAAACGTATATACGTATACGAAGGAAAAGGAAATGGGCAGCGCTTTATCCCAACCAGATAAGAAAGTATTTCCCTTGAGATATTAACTGAAATATTATGTTCCTAGTACAGGTTACATCTTAATTCAAAATCTATTCTATGAAGCTAATATTTTGTACCTCGAGCTTTTATTTTTTGACTAAACTCCTTTATGGGTTCTACTTTGTATTAGATATTTAATATACCCTTATGCAGCAATGCAGCGAGTGTTGCTTCTACAATATCAATGGCGTCATGGTATTGAAAAAAGTTCAAGTAGAGGTAGAGGTATACCAAGGAAATCACATTTCTGTATACCCAGCGGGGAAAAACTACTAAAACATTATGCATCGCCAATGTCCTTAAAGATGGTATTTCAAGAGTAAAGAAGTAGATAAAATTGAAGTGCAAAGGAACACTTGAACAAAACAACTTTACATAACGCTATAATAATGTTTCCTTTGTATGTCATTACAAACAGGTCAATAATGATAATGGCACCGCATGATAAATGTCGACAGCTAAATTGTAGCATAATTAAAAGGGAAATAGTACACGGATACACAGTAGGTGACGTAAGTCTTGATCAAAAGGTATGTAGAAGATAATGATTAAAAACAGCAAGACATAAGTGCTATAGCGAAGATCAAAGGTGGATTATAAAGTCCACTTGTTACCCGATCCACCTAGCTATGACGTCAAAAGGCTCAACAAGATCTAAAGCAGATAGAAAATAGGCAAGAAGAATCTTATCCACGAGCCAACTGAGGCTTTGTGTATAAACGCGTTCATGGATAATAAACCAATTTAGTACGCTGAGAAGGGTCACTCTCTCTAAGTAATTGTATTAATCCGTACTTTGAAAGCAAAAGGAACTACAAAGGCTTTAAAACTGGGTCTTTAAAGGCCAAATCCTCAATACGCAAACGCTACTCAATTACAAGTCGCCTTATGTCTTTATGCTATGTGATTCACTTTAGGGTAGATTTTCAATGAATTGCGGAAATTTTCATTTTCAACAGTTATTGACATTTTAGCGGTGCTCAATCCCTTGAAATTATAACTTTGCAAACGACTTGTCGCTAATGTGATTATACTGATCCCTATGATGGTCGAAGGAACAGAATTATACGCTTCAGTAGCACCAATTGGTAAACCGATAATGTGGAACTAATTGACTATTATAAGCGCAGTAGACAAAGGGTTAAATATAGTTTAAATTTACTTCAATAACTAAAGACAAATAAAAAAAAATATAGAATATTCGTTACGTTCTTTCATGAATTGGAGACAATTTGTTAGTTGGCAAAACACTTTCAGAAGCACCACTTAAATAGATTCCACGTGTAAAAGGTGCTTCTGTGTTTATACGATAAATAACATTATTGTGAGCAAACATTTGCACAAGGATGTTAGTGAAGCGAGTAAATTATTGACAGTGAAGATCTGGGTGCTTCCGCTCAAGTCTTAGGGATAGTTCCAACATTTACATTATATTGATGTTCATTTTCGTCTTGCTATTTCTTGAAGTAAATATTAATTGGAGCAAAAGCACAGATACCTTTGTTCCAATTAATATTAATATAGCCTTTGCTCCATTTTTTTATATTAAAAAATTTTATGTGTTGCTCCGGAATAAGAACCTTCTCCTGTGTTGTGAGTGTGTTTTCAAACATAAAATTTCACAAACACATGAAACTCAGACAACAATTTGTGGACCAAACAGAGTTTTTCTGTGGGGGAATCTTATTTATTTAATAGATGGTGAATCAACAGCTACATTATACAATTTTAGCGGTAAATAGTGTTATCCGCGACATGTTGTGCGTCAGCTAGTTGTCCAGCCAATGCACAAACCGTGTAGTAATTTTTTGACTCTTCTACTTAATGTTTACCGAATCGGGAATAGTTAACCAACCCAGGAATCATTGACCTATTTTATGTTGAAGGTTTAGGTAATATAGTTTTTATTTGGAACCTTTATTTTGTAGTTCCTAATTATTGTAGGTAGATGGTTTGAGGATTTTATTTTTTAATGGTCACTATCGTTAGCAATGAAACAAAAACTAGATGTTGTAGCTGTTTGATAATTTTATATACGGATTCATGCAAGTTTGTCCTATATTATACTATCCGTATTTGAAAATGTAAAGGAAGTCATTTTACTATTTTTAAAGGCTTTTTTTTTAAATCTTCTAGATTAATTAGAATCAGGAGAATCTAATTTGAATTTGCATTATTTTGTTAGAACACAGACCAGAACAAATGCAGCTAAATATAGTAAAAGCAAACATTGTCATAGTAACCATAGAACAACAATGACATAAAGTAGTTCTTAGTTAGTTATTACTTGGTGTGGGAATCGAGGCAAGTGTTTCGATGCACTTTCTTTTATTATAATTACTGCGGCAGTGTTTTATTGAAAACATTGAAACTGTTTGTCATAATATTATGGACGTATGCACGACCTTGGAATCTCAATGTGTAGTTATGAAGTTTAAGGTCACATAAACAGCTTAAACATCAGACTTCATTTAAAGTGGGATTAATTAAGACTTTAGAATAAGCTATAAATAAACCTACTGTATTTTTTGCTAAAAAACATTAACACAAAACGTTATTCGCAATAAAGCAATCTTTGTTGACGTCAATTTGACGATTAATATCCTTAAATAAGTAATTACTGTAAGGAGACTCTTAATAGAGATATTTAAGCCAATGATAGCGTCAACAACGTTGAAAATTGAGCACCAATTTGCGGTGCTGGATGATATTCGTCCATAACACGATGGCAAAGATATAAAACAGTCATAAAATATTCAATAGTATCGACGTTATGGTCGGCCACAGTGTTCAGAAAACAGCCTGTTTACACCATGATAACACGTCAAGTTAATCGTATGGTGTGAAAATGCTTTCACTTATCATGTCTAGGTACCTTGACTTATCGATATCATTATCTGTTATTGCTAGCATGTTATCGGACGCTATAATTAATATATACCAAAGAACTGTTACAAATAGGTGTGTGTTTGTTATGTGCCATCAACCATTTCGGTAACATTAAGCAAAAAAAGTTGGGCGCCACCGTTACTACTGACC